CACAATTCCCACCTATCCATCAAAATAAATTCAAATTGCACACTGACCGCAGTCCACTCTTTCAAATACTTAGGTATGATGTTAGACCCCAATCTATCTTTTGGCCTGCACATAGAAAAGCTTGCTTCTAAACTTTATCCAAAACTAGATGCCCTGTACAGAAACAAATCCTGCCTAAGCCCTACAGTAAAGGAAAAGATTGTACAGCAAATGCTGATGCCAATCATTGATTATGGGGATGTAGTATAAGCATCTGCATCGCAATCCCACATTAATAAACTCAACACATTGTATAACTCATTCTTCCGATTTGTGCTACAATGTAATTACAGGACTCACCATTGTGACATGCTAAAAGAACTAAACTGGCTGTCGCTGGAATCCAGACGCACCCTTCATCTTTCCAGCCTTGTGTTTAAGAGCTTTTCTGGGAAACTCCCACCCTACCTGAACAAAATGCTTTCCCCAGCTGTTCCCACTTCCTATAACCTCCGATCCAGTACCAACACTTTACTTAGTCTACCTCTATACAAAAAGAAAGCAGCCCGATCCTCCTTCTCCTACAGAGCACCGCAATTGTGCAACGACCTCCCGCACAATTTAAAATCTTCCCTAAGCCTAAAGTCCTTTAAGAGATCCCTCTCTACATACCTCAAAACAGAATGCACCTTTCATGGTTGATTATATATTTCCTACCTGTTCTATGTTAAATTTTATATTTATTGTGTATTAATATTGTTTTTGTATTTTATTGTACCCTAATGTAACAGTGCAATGATTTGTGGACCCAGGACATAATTGAAAACGAGAGAAATTTCAATGTATCTTTCCTGGTAAAATATTTTATAAATAAATAATAAAGGGGTTTGGGAAGACAATAATTAACAGAAAATCTCTCTCCTGCCTGCAGAATTAGCAATATGCAAATCTACCCGAATATGCAAATTAACCAGCCATGCTACTCAGGTAGTGCATATTGATGTTGCTACCAACAGAGGGCACTACACAAGCTCCATGGCTAAATCCACCTAGTTGGTACCAATCCTACCACTCTAGGAGGTAGGAGTGTGTGAAGAAATCACTCTCTATGTGTAATATTTCTTCCCTATTCATTCGGTAGATCTAACTACCAAACAAAGACCACCTTGGATCATTAAACTTCAAAGAATGCTTCAATTGAACCCTCTATCTGTGCGGCCAGCGTTCGTACTACCGAACGCCACGTGGCTGAAAAAACGGCGCCCATCTTTTTCAGGCGAACAAAGACAGCGGGACTTGGTCGTTGAGTGTCTGGAACTAAAATCGGACACTCGACTTCCTGAACACCGGTCTCAAACAAGCGAATGCTGGATCTCTATTTCCCGAATAGCTAGAAGAGCACTATTCGGTACTTTTGTGCATTCGAATGAGGGGAACAATCACTGCTAAGAGCCAGGGGAATCCATTCGTGGCATTATTCGTTTTTTACCACTTTACTGAATAGACCGGCAAAACCACCCAAACTCCTGGAACTATTTTGGGCAGCCAGCTCGCGGTTAGCCGGTCATAAAGGACTTCCACACTTTTTGAGAACCTCTGAACCGATCTGGGTGAAATTTGAATATGTTGGTCACCCAGATCGGGGCTATCAGGGGACATATTATTTGTGGGGATACCCCATGTATAAAGGGGTGTTCTGAATATTGGGGAAGATTGTGATTTTTCTGCCTGGAGATAATCAAGTTATTACTTTATCAGACTTGATTATCTCCAGGACTAGGGGAGGGAATTGTATGTTTGTGCTGGGTGTGTTTTACGATTTTACTGTAACTGATTGGTTATACCGTGTCCCTCCCTGTGGGATGTCCCCTTGCATGGGGACTTGCATAAAAGCCTGTGTGTGGTCATTAAAGCCAGTTTTGTTGTACCCTTCTTCTTGACTTTGGCTGATGTTTGGGGATTCGTATGCTTTATTAAGGGAATCATCTTATAAGGATATTTGTATTTGTATGGATTTAGTCTATTTCATCTACCGAACGGAGAGCTATACTCACTGATGCTCTGGCGGTTCGGGAGGAAACTAGCGAATGAGGATTGAATATACTAGGTTTCCTTTCAGAGTGTTCTTAAAATCCATATGTGGAGATAAAAGAAACAACTAATGGTTCAATATATTCACCAAGCACAATATTATGCTTGGTGAATATATTGAACCATTAGTTGTTTCTTTTATCTCAGCATATGGATTTTAAGAACACTCTTACCTCGTAGAGCGGCTTTCCATCCATAGAACTATCGTTAGCTTTACGTCTAATTTTCAAAAGACTCTCCTGAACTATATCTTTGGAACTCTCAATTTTTATTTTATTTAATTTTTACTTTTTAAACTTCTACAGGTGATACTCTAAAAATTAGAATATCGTGCAAAAGTTAATTTATTTCAGTAATGCAACGTAAAAGGGGAAACTAATATATGACATAGACATATTACATGCAATAAGTGTCATAAGTGCGATGATTATGGCTTATAGCTCATGAAAACCCCAATTCACAATCTCAGTAAATTAGGATATTGTGAAAAGGTGCAATATTCTAGGCTCACAGAGTCCCACTCTAATCAGATAAGTAAGCCATAACACCTGCAAAGGGTTTCTGAGTCTTTAAATGGTCTCTCAGTCTGGTTCAGATGTCGTATTCCTCTTGTCAAGCCGCTGCTGAACAACAAACAATGTCAGAAGCGTCTTACTCGGGGCTGAAGAAAAACAGGGCTAAAGAAAAACAGACCTGGTCTGTTGCTCAGTGGTCCAAAGTCTTCTTTTCTGTTGAGAGCAACTTTTGCATCTAATTTGGAAACCAAGGACCCAGAGTCTGGAGGAAGAATGGAGAGGCACACACTGCAAGATGCTTGAAGTCCAGTGTGAAGTTTCCACAGTCTGTGTTGATTTGGGGAGCCATGTCATCTGCTGGTGTTGGTCCACTGTGCTTCATTAAGTCCAGGGTCAACGCAGCAGTCTACCAGGAGATTGTGGAGCACTTTATGCTTCCTTCCGCAAATGAACTTTATGGGGATGCTGACTTCATTTTTCCTCAGGACTTGCCACCTGCCCACACTGCCAAAAGCACCAAAGCCTGGTTCAATGACCGTGGGATTACTGTGCTTGATTGGCCAGCAAACTCGCCTGACCTGAACCACCTAAAGAATCTATGGGGCATTACCAAGAGAAAGATGAGAGAGATGAGACCGAACAAAGCAGAAGAGCTGAAGGCTGCTATTGAAGCATGGTCTTCCATAACACCTCAGCAGTGCAACAGGCTGATAGCTTCCATACCACGCCGCATTGAGGCAGTAATTGCTCCAAAAGGGGCCCAAACCAAGTACTGAGTCCATATGCATGCTTATACTTTTCAGAGGTCCGATATTGTTCTATGTACACTCCTTGTTTTTTTGATTGCATTCTAATTTACTGAGATTGTGGATTTGGGGTTTTCATGAGCTGTAAGCCATAATCATCGCACTTATGACAAATCACGGCTTGAACTATCTTGCTTTGCATGTAATGCGTCTATCTCATATATTAGTTTCCCCTTTTATGTTGCATTACTGAAATAAATTAACTTTTGTACGATATTCTAATTTTTCGAGTATCACCTGTATATACTCTATATGTGTTTTATCTGTTTATAGTACTTATATATTGGCACTGCCTAACCCCTATCTTTTCTCCACTGTTTTGTCTAATTGTAAGGCCTGTGAGGGAACCTTACTGTTCAGGTGTGCTGCCTTATTATCTGCTGTCTTTTCTGTACACCTCAGAGCGCTGACCCCTAACTACTCCTTTTTGGTCTCTAATACATTTAACTGTATACACAATATAAACAATTACATTGCACACACCCTGTACCTATAATGGGCACAGGGTGACTAAAATATAAGAAAAGTAAAGCAACCTACCTATATAGTCTGTCTGCAGGTACAGGTGATGGGGACTACCGTTACACATGCTATACAATAAACTCTAAATAGGTAAAAGTGTCTTTACATTTACTGAAAATAAATAAATACAAGTTAAAGCTTAGCAAAATGGAGAGAAAAAAAGTTAAACTGTAAAGTAGTAGTTTTTCTTAAAGCATTCTAAAATCTTTACATTTAAATATGAGATTATTCACTCAGTTGCCATCCTTGGATAAGTGTGCAAGAGTTCCTTCTGATATGACTAACATCCACCACTTTCACCTTGTGAACACCTTAAACTCTTCAGAATTGAGGAATTTCAATGTACATTCATCAACTTCTTTAAATTGTGTTGCTCCTCCTCCAATTTCCAGTATATAGCAATGATGAGAAATGCCATATTCAAATCAACTAGCTCCAGTTTGGGATGAATGGAAACTCCATCCAATTAAACAGAGCATTGTTTATGTGAGAGTGCATCACTGAAAATATATATTGTCCGTGCCAAACCATTATACACTAAACATCAGAGGTTTTCCATAGCTATCAGCAAATAAATATAAAATAACTCCATATACATTTATACATTGTAAAGACACTTGATGATATTTGAAAATATACTTTTGTTTCTATATGTGCAATATTTTTGGATATCAGTACAATATCTCTGCACAAACAAGAGGCCAAGGGCACTAAGCACTGTGTAATATATGTATGGTGGCAATAGAGGGTTAATAGGTCAGTGTAAGTTCATGACCCCTGATCATCTTGTTGGGCAGAGTGGGACAAGTAGCTGGGCAGATTAGGTGACACAGATGTTGCTGGGGACAAGAACTGGCTGATGATTGGTTGCTGTCAGTGAGCCAGAAAAAGAGCGGGAAATCAGGTAAGTATAAAAGGTGACAGTGCAAGGTAATCCCTGTCAGCTGTCTTTTCTAGAGGATGGGAGAAGCATCGACAGACACCAGCATCTCACCTGCTCCAGCCGCAACATGTTTGCAGAAGAGCTGATGTCCCGGTTAGGAGAGATCCTGCGTTCGTCTGGAGGGAATCCTGGTTAAGGGACTGCCTAATCTCGGCGCCGGGGCTTACAGCGCTGATAGAGAGCCTCCGGTAGTAGAATCATACTGAGCAAATTGCTCCCGATGTCTAACTGAGGTTCCGACCAGAGGCACGTCGTACACAGTCGGAAAAAGGCGCGCTTATCCGCGGCACAGCCTGGGAAGAGCGCCAACTGCTGACAGAAAAGGAGAATGCATGCTGGTTAAGGAATTGGCTCCAAAAGTAAAAGAAACAGCTCCTGGAAGAAGAAAAGGTTTAAAAGAAGCCTGCCTTCCTCCCCTGTGCCTATGGTGGGTCATGGTAGAGTTAAGGGCCGGGCTAAAGACATCCTGACAAGAAGCAAAGAAAGTTCGGATGAAGTGAGAGCGTGTTATCGAGACGACATGCCAGTCCTGGAAGAAATGGAGGCATGAGGCAGAGCTGGTACTTCAGGTGGTGAGTATGAACGAAACATTGCTGAACTGGCTAAGATTAGGGAGGCGTTGGTAGCGTTCACTGGAATGGTAAACGTCTTTACAAAAAAATACCGGAGATGTTTGGTTAATGTTCTGGGGGTTTAAAAACCGGAGATGTTTGGTTATAAAGTTACAAAGTTTTTCAGTTAAACCAGCAACTAATGTCGGTACTTATAGTACAGTAAGAACAATATTATTATGGAACTCTTATTAAAATATATATATATATATATATATATATATATATATATATATATATATAATTTCATTGGTACTTTTTACTGAAAGTACTCAGTTATTAAAGTATTGTTATTTAGGACTCAAGGTACCCAAACAAGGAGAGAGCTAAGTTATTGCTTCAAGGTTTTGCGGAAGGTTTTTTTTAAGATTCCAAAGTTTTATGGTTCAGGTTGTTCAGTTGTTAATAATTTAAAATCAGTTTTACAGGACGTTGAATCTGTTAAGTAAATTTACAGGCCTCATTGCGCTAATTTCACCTTTCTACTTTAGGTTTAATAAAAATAAAAAAAAGAGAGAGAGACAGGTTCATTCAGGCTAATTCTCCATGTATTGCCCCTCTGGTGCGTCATTAAATGACGAATTTGACAAGGATACATGCTCAGGTCCTACACATAATGTGATGTTGCACTCAAATGGAGAAGAGAATTTCGACCGGGCGCACTGTTGGCTGAAGGTGGACATGGAGTCAGCCTATGGGCTATTAACGGTGCATCCTGATGGTTTCAATTCATTGGGATTTTCATTTCTTGGCAAGTTTTATTTTAATAAATGTGTACCAATGGGTTGTTCCATTTCCTGTTTTATACTTTGTAGCTGTTCGGCATTCTCAGAATAAGTTGTTAATGTGGAGACCGGTTTATATTCTATTGTACAATATCGGGATGACTTTGTTTATTGGTCCTAGCTCTGTTTCTGAATATTTTAGGTTGTTAGAGTTTTTCTGTAGTTTAGACGAATGGTTGGATATTCTGTTAACAGTGGAAAAGACATTGCGGCCAGTGACAAGTCTTCAAATTTAGGGATAACAATTGTTTCAGTGCTTTTAAGGTAAATGGACGATGGAAACAACAGTGAGGCAGTTCCGTCAATGATTAGGCCTATTAGCATTTGCAAGTCGTCCAAAAATTTGTAGGCGATTGGCGCTGGCTTGTGTTAAAAAAAAAAAATCTGTTCACTGTTGTGTAAGGATTTCTACAGAAATTAAGAAAGACTTGAACATATTTAGAACTAGAAATGGCCATTTGCTCAAAGGCTGTGCATAATCCGGGTATTGAGAATAAGATAGCTCCACGCTCCGTTGCCAGCTCCACTCTTTTAGAAGCTTAGTACAAGTCATATGGGAAGAGCCGGGCAATTGTGAGTAAACAGTTGTTAAAAGGTTATTTTAAAACACTTCATATGGCTGATGATAGTCGGCCTATAATATATTCGGCCCATAAAATATTCAGTGTTGGGAAAGCTGCTGGAAGTTTTGAAACACTGTTTGCTATTCGCAATTAGAGTAAATTTGTTTTCAGCAGCACTTTATTTAGCCTTTTGCAGCACTTAGGATCAGTGAGTTGGATACTTTCAGTAGATTTGGACTATCAGGTTTCGGTTTAAGAATGTGTTTAGCAGGGACGCAAAGGTAGATGTTGGTTGCAATCTTAAAACCGATTGTAACGGACCGTTTTGCACAAAAGGGGTAAAAACCGTTTAGGCGATCGGCCCCCTTTCCGGAGATGCAGGCACAGCTACTGCAGAACACCAAACACACGAACCGCCAATAAGTGAATGCCCCAAACTCCCGAACGGCATCCAATATAGCACTCCAAATACACGAACAGGAACCATACGAATTGCTGCTACCAGACGAATAGGAAAAGCATCCAAGCGGCTTACACACCTACCAATCAGTCTCTATCAGCATTCAGTAAATCCCCCCAAAGACGAGACAAGGCTCCGTGTTGTGGGTCAAGCAGTGGTCTGTTTAATGAGGGCTACCTGCCCAGTATTTATGCAGGTCTCCCACCTGGTGGACACTCCCCTAGGGGACCAAATGGGAGACTGTGACAAGGGACAGACAAGCAGACAAATAGGACACACAGTCACATTATATTCCCACAATGCATCCTGGCTTCCTCCCCTCTGCCCTGGGAGATAATTGAGAAGTAATTCAATTATCTCCCAAGACAAAGGCAAATCTCCATTATGCACATGGGGATACTAAAACAAGCATTACTGTTAAAATACACCAGGTAAGACACATTACATTAAAACTATACATTTAACATATTCCCAGATAGCTCAGGTCTGAGCGCACATTATTAAGTGAATGGCGCTCAGACCACACGAATACAGTTTAATCGCCATGGAGCCAAAGTCTTTACAGTCAGTTTCATACGAATGGGCTCCATGGGATTCCTATCTGGGGTATAACACATTCAAATAAAACTACCGAACACCGGGCCATTCGTGCACTTCCACCGAACAAGAATGGAGGTCGGTGGCTTCAGCGGTGTTCGCGCAAAACTGTGTCCGATTTTAGTTCCATGAAAATAGGGGCGAACACCGCTGTGCATTTGTATGTCTAAAATGGCCGCAACCTCGTGTTCGGGATACGAATGGTGGCCACCCAGCATTCGTCAATTAAGCTGCGGTTAACCGTAGCTTCAGGGAGGTTAATTGCCTGCACACTCCAACTCCCAGGTGAATCTACCGAACAACCGGCAGAAAAGCACGAATACAGCTTTTCTGCAGGCGAAATAAAGTCTTTTAACAGGGGGGCCATAGTCCAGAGGCAGCAGGCAAGCAACCAGGCTTCTCCAATGCAATATGGCGAGATTGGTCTCGTCACACCGATCAATTTGAAAAGGCAGATGGATTCATTTGTTAGGTATCTAAAAAAGCAGAGTTTGCCCAGTGGAGACACTGCGTGCATATTTAGCTGTCCGGCCTGTGGAACAGGGCCTGCTGCTAGTGGCAAATCTCAGGCTCTCCTCTAACACGTTCTCAATTTGCAGAATGTTTTGAAAGACTTGGGTACAAAGGCAAATTTTCTACTCATTCCTTCAGAATTGGGGTAGCATCATAGATTTTGGAGCAGAAGCTATAAAAGAAATTGGGGACGGGAGTCAAATTGTTTTAAGTTACTTGTGCGGGATGACATGATGTAATGTTTGTTTTCATCCTTTCACTCTGTTATTATTATTCTTTTCTCAGGTACCGTAACAAATGTTTGGGTTATGGGTCATTCCTTTGATAAAGCAGGCCATGTAAGGGCAGGAGCAGGAATTTATGGACTGAATTTGGACTTCAATCGAGATGACGTCACAATATATTGGAAAGATGTAGGTGGTCTACAATTTCACCAGTTAATGGAACTCATATTAAAGTGTTGGTCTTGGCTTGCTTCAGCTGTTTTAATATTTCATATGGTGGTAATGATATAGGTGTGGTTAAACCCGTGCAGTTATCACGTAAGGTAAAGAAATAATTTTTTTGGTATTGAAAAAATTATTTCTGTACACCATTCTAGTTTGGTCGGAGGTGGTCCAGCGCTGGATGGTTAAGTGAACCAAGAGTTAAAAGCGCTGAGAAGAGTGAGTGGTAAGTTGAATTTGGCAAGGTCAAGATTTGCCACGATTGGCAGGGTTTTCACACAGATATTGCAAATGAGATCAGAATGAAAGGGGCCTTTTTAATGAAGGCCTTGTTCATTTGTGCTATATCGGTCTGGACATTTTAATCTGGATCTAAAACATGATTGAAAAAGGGCCTTGGCTGTGGGGGGCCTCAGCTGGGATAGTCCTACCCCAGCTGAGGCGGTCGGGCTAAAGTTATCCTCAGCTTCAAATTCTGAGGAAGGATATGTGTTAAATGGTTGCCTACCAGACATAAATAGGCCACAGGCACTAAGCACTGTGGCATATATTATGGTGGCAATAGAGGGTTAATAGGTCAGTGTAAGTTCATGACCCCTGATCATCTTGTTGGGCAGAGTGGGACAAGTAGCTGGGCAGATTAGGTGACAGAGCTTTTGCTGGGGACAAGAACTGGCTGATGATTGGTTGCTGTCAGTAAGCCAGGAAAAGAGCGGGAAACCAGGTAAGTATAAAAGGTGACAGTGCAAGGCAATCCCTGTCAGCTGTCTTTTCTACAGGATGGGAGAAGCACCAACGGACACCCACCTTCCCTCCCACTAATTGTTAAATTTGTTTAAATGTAATATCGTGGTGTTGGAAGCTTGGGGCAAAAGTCATCCTCAGGTTCAAGTTCTGAGGAAGGATATGTGTTTTAAATGGTTGTATTTATAAGGCGGTCAGGTTAGTTATAACTGACTGGCACTAAGTGATGGTGATAAATGGTTGTCACTAAGTGATGGTGAAAGTAAAAGTTGAAGTTAAGTGAAAAGTTTTGAAGTTAAGTGAAAAGTTTACCTGAATAGGTTACTGTTATCAAGTTACTGGTGGTATGCCCCATTTTCAAGCTTTAATAAACACCACGGCCAAGCCCATTGAAATAAAATGAACTGTGTCTGTGTTTATTGTGTGGTCTAAGTTATTTATGCAAATTATTGCCTGCCAGACATATAGTGGGTTACTACTGGTTCTTTTTCTTTCTTTACTTGTATATTTGTTTTACACATATATACTTTTTTTGCATATTCACTTTACTCACTTTGCATTAACTGTTGAAAAAAGACTATGCTTATGTCAACTTTTTCAGGTTTGTTCTTTTCCGCAAACTGCATATTTGAGAAAACCAAGAGAAATATATACATATAAAACAAACATTTAAAGAAATACTAGAAAGTATTATTCCTGCCACTAGAAAGCCGTGGGATCTATTTCATGATATGATCCAGTTATTGTAGTGTAATTAAATCAAAATATAACAGAAGCTCTGCATTGTGGATTAATCCCAAACTAGTGTTCAAGCATAATAATTGATAACTAACTGAGCTATTCAATGTTGGTATATGGAAAGTATATCTCTGTGCATCTTGTACAGTAATACAATAGTTTAATGCTGCATGTTGAATAATACCTTTTATAATAGTCAAATATATTAACATAATAATAATTGAACTTCATCATAAAATATATAAAATGTATCTCTGATATCCAATATAATTTACATTTAATCACTTAAGCTCATTGAAGTAGTCTGGGTGCATATTCCCCGATCCTTAACCCGACAAAGCTAATTATTGCAGTTTTATTTATATGTAGGGTAATTTTCCTTTTGGGACTTCACCGGTTTTTCCACAGCATCCAGCATCACCGGTTTTTCCATAGGAAAGCTTTGTATAATTATTTTCTATGGTGAAATTCTAATGGGAGAGCGGCCATTGCCACACATGCCCATTAGGTCTCCCCCACCGACAAGGGAGTAGCTGAGGTGGACCCAAGCTGAAGGGTTTTTAACATTTTTTCCACTGTGGAGGGGGAGGAGGGAATCCTATAGGGAGAAATAGTGCCATAAAAACAACTTTTGTGTTCCTTTCACTATAGTTTCCCTTTAAGTTAACAAATAAAATATGTTAACTTAAAGGGAAACTTAGATGTTAATATAGAAAAGTACAGAATGGGTTGAGGTCATGGAAACCGAATGTACGTAAATGGTAGACAAGCCAAATGTCATGGGATCCACAAGTCAGAATAGTCAAAGAACAAACCAAGGTCAAAATACACAAGTTTTAAGAAAAATAACGTGTCACAGATAACCAAAATGGAAGCCATGACAGGATATTGCAAATTAGCCACAATAGGTTTAAATAGCTAAAGAAAGGCTCTAAGTGGCCCACATATGTCATGTGATGTCAGAACGTGCACGCATGATATTGACATGATGACACACACATATTCCCGACAGTGAGAAATGTGGGGGATCTAAAGAGCCATTAAAGGCTCTGGCTGCAGCAGCCGGTGTCTCTAACAATTCTAGACCTAGCCACTGCCGAGGCAAGAGGGATGTCTGGTGTAAATCCCACGGCCGCGTGAGAATATACCACAACAAGGTGTACCCATTGGGTCCAAGAGCACGCTCGAATAGGATTGTGGCCAGCAGTCACTGTGACACATAGTTAATGGATTGCCATGATCAAGGTTGCTCTTAAAGATTATATCTTATGCAAGGACACTAAAACATGCAAAGTTACAGAAATGTTATTTTTCACTGTGATAGTCCATACAACTGGATACATCTAAGGGAGTCAGATGTTTTCTATTATTTATAGAAAGTATAGAAAGCGTAAGTAATATCTTTATGTTATTATATTATGTTTTGCAGGAAATGTTTGAAGTAAACCAGACAACAGTCACTGAGTTTGAATTTCTTGGATTTCAAAATATAAAGACCATCAACACTGTACTGTTTCTTCTTTTCCTTGTAATCTATATGTCGACTTTAACTGGGAATCTGCTTATTATTTTATTGGTGGCCCATGTTCCCAGTTTAAAATCTCCCATGTATTTCTTCCTCACTCAGTTATCTTTATCTGACATCTTACTCACCACAAATATAGTTCCTAACTTGCTACATATAATAATTAATGAAAGAAACAAAATATCTTTTGCTAGCTGTATCACACAATTTTATTTTTATGGTGTTTCTGCAGCTGCAGAGAGTCTTCTTCTTGCGACAATGTCCTATGACCGATATTTAGCCATCTGTGACCCGCTGCATTATATCTCTATCATGGATCTCAAGCTTCGTCTCAAGCTGGTTCTATTGAGTTGGACTTTAGCATGTTTGGTTATGTTATTTACTGTGTGTCTAATATGTAATGTAACATTCTGTGGTCCACACATAATTGATCATTATTTTTGTGATATTGCACCTATTTTAGAGTTGTCTTGTTCAGACCATTCAATTATTGACCTTTCATATTTTACTTTGGCCATACTTTTTGCTCTAATTCCTTTTTTTTTAATTCTTTTCACCTATATCTCAATTTTTATCACCATCTCTCAAATTTCTTCCAGCAACGGGAAACAGAAATCCTTCTCCACTTGCAGTTCTCACTTAATGGTAGTGAGTACGTACTACGGGACTCTAATAACTATCTATATGGTACCCTCCAAAGGACAGTCATATAATGTCAATAAAGTTATATCCCTTTTATATACTGTGGGAACTCCATTTTGCAACCCAATTATATACAGTCTTAGAAATCAGGAAATAAAGAATGCAATGAAATATAATATACAATGCCTCCACTGATGCTGAGAAAAACCTTCTTCTTGCATCATCGTCTATTAGCAAATGAATTTAAATTGCAAATTTTATTTGCTATTTTAAATTTCACTATATATAAGCTGATATTGTATGCAAAGGGTTTCAAAACACCTTTTAACCTAAAATGATACTGCACGCCTTAAAACCAACTTAATGACGCTAATAATAATAATAATTAACAGAACAGGAGATAAGCAATTTTAGATTAAGCAGATTATGGAATACAGGAACCTAAAACATCTAGGTTATTATTTTCATTATGTTTCAGGAAGTATTTAGAAAGAAAATGCAAGTCACATGCAAGGTGGTTTGACTAGGGCTACATAAACAAAGTGATTTACCTCCAAGATAGCAGAGAATTGAGCAGTAAGACTGCAGAGGCATGAGCTAAACATACAATAACAGTAAGAGCACATTGATTTGTTTTCTTGTAGGCCAAGCAATCAGAGCATTCTTAGTGACATTACAGAGTATAGGAAAGTTTCTACAGGGGATTTCCATGATATGAGAGCATTTTCTGTGGCGAACCCTAAAGAGGTAAAAAGGATTAATTTTATTGCTTGTTTTTTTCAATTTTCCATATTTTGTTTTTGCAGGATGATGGAAATGTCTTTTTACTTTTTGGGAGCTACATATATTAGTTAGAAGAAAGAAAACTTCAGTAATGACTGCCCAGTCGCTAGTTTTAACACGTTGGTAAACAACCACCCTATATTAATATAAAGCATTTGGCACCGGGGGCGGATCCTGTGTCCTGCCTCGCCCCTCCTACAAAACCTCTGTCCTGCCCCTTCTACAAATCCTGTACTGCCCCGTCTACAAAACCCCCGCAACCCCCTTCCACAAATCCCCTGCTTATCCCCCCTTATTAAGACTGCTGTCCCAATACAAAACCCCCGTCCCCTTCTACAAAATCCCTGCAGCCCCACACACACATTTACAGGCAGACAGTCACACACTCAGTTACAGACAGATAGTCACACACTCAGTTACAGGCAGACTGTTACACACTCAGTTACAGGCAGACAGTCACACGCACACACACATACACACACAGTTACAGGCATACAGTTACACACAGAGACACACACAGTTACAGTCTCACACACACACACACATGTCAATCTCTCCCCTCCCTCCAATTCCCTTCTCCCCCTCCCAATTTTTTTCTTTATCCCCCAATCTTTCCTTCTACCCATCCCAATTTCTTTCTTTATCCCCCCTCCAAATTTCTTTCTTTATCCCCCTCTCAATCTTCTTTCTTTCAGTGGGTAAGGGACATATCAAGCCCCGCCCCCAGTTCCAGTCTGGTCCCCCGATTTTGCTTAGCTCCGCCCCACTTTTCCTCCGTGCGGCCATTTTATCAGCTGTTTGCTTGTGTGAGCTGTACTGGCCGCACGGCACCCTAACTACCATGGGGCACTGTGCGGCCACAGCTCACACAGCTCCCTCCACCCAGGGCCGGTGCAAGGATTTTTGCCGCCCTAGGCAAAAGTAAAGTTTGCCCCCCCATGTGATATCACAATGCCCCACCCATATGATTTGCCATGTTAACTAACGCCAGTGCTGCAGTGCCGCCGTGTTTACATTAAAAGGCCTGCAGGGACAGGCTATAGACACCAGAACCACTACATTAAGCTGCAGTGGTTCTGGGGACTATAGTGTTTCTTTAATGTGAGGTAAATTAGAGATTAGTGCCACGAAAAATATACTAGATTGGCTACTTACAACCAGACGAGGATGATGATGGGCTCTAGCTGCAGTCTGGCTCCACTTTAGAACAGGCTCTCTGGAGGCGGTTTGTAACTGTGGTCACAAAAATCAATGTTCTGGGAAGCAGCTCCATATTTTGGGGGCCCTTTACACAGCTCAAAGTCTGGGTCACAGGGTCCACCTTCATGTTCCACCAATGAGTTTGTTCACAGGGGGTGGAGTGTGTAGGGGATGTCCTCATATGTGTGTAAGGAATGCATTGTGTGAATCTGTGTTTGTATGTGTAAGGGCTGCAAGGTGTGTTTCTGTGTATGTACGGGATGCATTGAGTGTGTGTAAGGGGTGCATTTAGTGTGTGTAATGAATGCATTGTGTGTTAGGGATGCATTGTGTGTAATGGTTGCATTGCTTGTGTATGTGTGTTTGTGTGTGTAATGCAGTGTGTGTAATGCATTGTGTGTTTTCTGTGTGCAAGGGGTGCATTGTGTGTGATGAATGTCAATCTCTCCCCTCCTTCCAATTTCCTTCTCCCCCTCCCAATTTTTTTCTTTATCCCCCCAATCTTTCCTTCTACCCATCCCAATTTCTTTCTTTATCCCCCCCTCCAAATTTATTTCTTTATCCCCCCTCCCAATTTCTTTATTTATCCCCCTCCTCAATCTTTCTTTCTCCCCCCAATCTTTCTTTCTCCCCTCCCAATTTCTCCCCCCCCAATTTCTCCCCCCTCCCAATTTCTTTCTCCTCCCCTCCTACCACTGTTGTAGCGTGGCCGAGCCCTGTATCATGGTCCGCGGGTACAGGGAGCTTTTGTTTCCTGTACCCAGCCGGACTAACAGGAAGTGAACACTCAGTGTGCACTTCCTGTTAGTCCGGCCAGGTACAGGAGACAGATGCTCCCTGTACCCACAGACCATGATACAGGGCTCGGCCACGCTACAGTGAATGAGTGACAGGAGGGAGTGCTGAGCGCTGAGCACTGAGCGCTTCCCTCCTGTCAGCCCCTCTCCTCATGCTGCGCACGGGCGGGCAAAGCTGCAGCTGCCTGAGGCTCTCTACAGAGAGCTCGGGCGGCTGCAGCATGAAGGGGGCCGGTGCTCCTGGCCTCCCCCCCCTCCCAAGGCACCTCCCACCCTGGTGGCACCTGGGGCGGACCGCCCCCTCCAGCCCCCCCCTTAGTATGCCACTGATATGGGGTCTCATTGACATCAACAGGTTGTTATTTAATATATAGTTTAAAAATATACAGTATCTCACAAAAGTGAGTTCACCCCTGACATTTTTGTAAATCATTTATTATATCTTTTCATGTGACAACACTGAAGAAATGACACTGTACTACAATGTAAAGTAGTAGGTGTACAGCCTGTATAACAGTGTACATTTGCTGTCCCCTCAAAATAACACACAGCCAATAACGCCTGAACCATTGGCAACAAAAGTGAGTACACCTCTTATGGGTCGGATCCGCGCATTGTTTTTGAGATGGAAATGACAGGATTTGGTGATAGACTGAACATGAGGCTGGAAGGAGAGATCGGAGTCAAAGAGAACACCTAGGCAGCGAGCCTACATGGTATAGCTGATGGTAGCACTGTTGACCTGGATGTCACTGGAAAAGATAGAATGAAATATTTTTAAAAATGTGAGGGGTGTACTCACTTTTGTGATATATATATATATATATATATATATATATATATATGTATATATATGTATGTTTTGAAACTATATGATGTGAGTGTTGGCTATTAAAGGCTTGCCAACCACCACTTTACTAACCCTCGCACTGCAGTGCATTATTTAAATATTTGTCCACTGGCTACTAGTAATGTCAGTGGACAAATAGTACTTACAATGATTGTTTACTTGCATGAAAGCACGTGAACTATAATTTGAAAAGGGAATCCTTTGGGACGTATTTGGTACCCATTTGTTGCACTTTCTGAATGCTATGAATGCTATATTTTGCATTGGATTTGGAAGTGAAAGCACTGATATTAATCCAGACACATAATGCATCCAGGAGATTGCTGCACTGAATTCTGACTGTATTTGGCTTTAGTAAATATCAGAATTACCATTATCATTGGAATTTGGTAACTTTCACTGGATTTGGCCCATTTTAAAAGAAATCATATAAATACTAAAATAACCTGCAAGGAGCCAATATGCAAAAATGAAATTTGATTTCCTAATCTAGAAATAGAAAAGCAATAGTCAAAGTTAGCAAGATCAATCCCAATAGTTTTATTAATACTTTAATGGAAGAAGAAATTAAAGTGTTGGGCCTTTGAGATCTGAAATAAGCAATTTAAGTAATAAGGATCATGAATAGGAAACATTTAAAACTTTTAAATACTTTTCATTAACTGTACAGTGAAGAAGAACCTATAACCAAAGCTATGCTAAAACACGCCGCAGTTAAAGAAGACTTAAAAACAAACATGATTTGCTGGCACATGATATACTACTAAAACAAATAATGAAAGTAGCAGTTAATGTGAACAAAGAATGAAAAAAAAAAAACTGATATGTTTTAGCAGTTCTGCAAAAATAAATGCAATGTGAAATAATAAAAACAAGAGTAAAAATCAAAATGTGAATGTGCCACCTTAATAAAAAGTGTATAAGAAAGTGCACCACACAAATCGTATACCTGTAATATTGTAAACAATATATTTGTCAAACAATTTAAAAATACAGACTTCTCACCAATATGAGAGATCGTTCTGGGAGAATAAAGGATAATCACTAGGATTGAGAGGCACGTTTAGGTGACAATCCGGTTAGTTTGAATATTATAGGGAAAATCCAGAAGGTTTGTTAAAGTCCAATGCAGTTTGGTAACAGTAAATCAGTCCATATGAATATCCAGTAGAAGATTCAAATCTAGTCCATTTTGGCAACAGTAAATCAGTACATAGGAATAACCAGGAAAAGGGTCAAATCCTGTCCGGTTTGGCAACAGTAAGTCAGTCCATAGGAATATCCAAGAGAAGGGTCAAATCCAATCCAGTCTGGCAACAAATAATAAGCAAAGTAAGGAGAGTCCAAGAGAAGTGTCAAAGTCCAATCCGGGTCGGTAATAAGTAATAAGCAAATAATTTTAACTGGGAATTAACTTTGAGGGAAATTTGAAGTCATTGGGACTTGTTAGAAAGGTACCTGTAGCAGAGTAAATAGGTGTCAAATGCACATGGCTAGAGACACATTAATTGTGCACTGGGACACTAAAGTTGAAGGTTTAAATAGGTGGATCCATGAACTTCAATTAGACTCTAAAAGTGATAGATCGGAAAGTGAAGTGAACCATGTAAATGAACTTTTACACACTCCCACCCCAAAGAGCTACCTCTGGAAGCTACGAAGTTTAAAGGGATAATTGTTGGAAAGCGTCCAACAACTCAGGGCATGTATGTTAAAATGAGGAACCCATTGATTGTGTGAGTCATCATACCCTTTCCACGCAACAGGATATATTCAAGTCTACGATAATGAATTTTAGAATCCAATATCTCCTTAATTTCGTATTACTCCTCATCATTCACAATAATTGGTTGGGGAGGAGGAATGGTCGGTGAAGTATCATCAGAAAGATAGGACTTTAAAAGTGTTGAATGGAATACAGGATGAATTCTTAGATGTTGACGAAGTTGAAGTTTGAATGACACTTCATTCATTTGGTCACGAATTTCAAAAGGACACAATAATGTGGGAGATAGTTTTTTAGATAGTGTTTGAAGTTTGAGAAATTTTGTAGAAAGAAGGACCTTATCACCAATTTGAAAATAAGGATTATCTTTTCTTTTAAGGTCAGCAAAATGTTTATACCTTTCTTTTGAGAGTAAAAGGTTTTCTTTTAATTTGATATGAGTTTCTTTGATGTTAGATACGTAATTGGTTAAATCAGGAATTTTATCAAGATTACATTTTAGAGGTAAGAATTTAGGGTTATAGCCATACTTGTAATAGAAAGTGAAGAATTTTTTTAGACTTTTGAATATTATTATTGTATGAAAATTCAGCGACAGTTAATAGGGAAGTCCAATTATCCTGTTGGTGAGTGGTGTAAATACAGAGATATTGTTCCAAGATACCGTTTAATCTCTTACTTTGCCCATTTGTTTGGGGATGAAAAGCAGTGGATAATTTGTAGATTTTTTGTAAATTCTCTCCAGAAGAGAGAAGTAAATTGAACTCCCCTATCTGTAATAATCTCATCAGGAATTCCGTGAAGACAGACATATTCATTTATGAAAATTTTAGCAAGTGAAGATGCAGAGGGAATGGAAAGGGAATGAAATGAACCATCTTTGTGAGATGGTCTACGATATAAAGTATACAAGTATTACCCTCTGACAAAGGGAGGTCAACAATAAAATCCATACTTATGGAAGACCATGGACTTAGAGGAGTTGGGAGAGGTTGTAATATGCCAAAGTGAGGAGTGGAAGGTTTTTTTCTTCCTTTGTTTGTCTTCACAAGTTTTTACATAATTGTCAATGTTTTTGTTGGATTTGGGCCACCAGAAATATTGTTTACATAATTGAATTGTTTTGTTGATTATTTACCATTTTTATTATCTGAATGGTGATATGAAATAGCTGTATAGCAAAGCTACAAATATTTAAAAAGTATAATAATTTATTGCAGAAAAATAAACAAATAAATGCATCAACAGTACAGCTGCTTACAAGATAAGAGAAAGTGAGCTTATGCAGTTTCCAGATACCGCTACTCACACAAGCCTCTATATCTCTAACACTGCCGACCCGGTCTGAGCATGGGTAAGGGATTCCAGTGACTTGGTGTTGGTCTATGAGCCTTTTCTGCTCCTCAATCAGCAAACAGCTGTAGTAAGTTACAAAGCTTCCAGTGGTAAATTTGCGGGATTCAAGGTCCGCCCACAGCGTGACGTCAGTGCGTCGTGCGTCTATGCGTTTTGCCATCCGGCTTCGTCAGGACATAGGCGAGTATCGGCCATTGAGAAACAGGGCAAATTTTAAGAGCAGATTATGTCCTACCCTTATAATTTGATTGGATAATCATATAGTCTCTCATTAACATATGTTACAGCCTACAAGTGATAGTATATCGATACAATAGAGATAAAAACAATTCTATACAAATTTAATAAGCAAATGCAGACTATTGAATAATAAAAGGTAATAATTAGACACATGCACCCTAATAGAGCATACTTTATAGTGAGGACATACTTGGCAAATAAAATCTTAAGCTAGAAAGAGAAGAAAGAATTATATGAATATTATATTATGGTTAAAACTGTGTCCAAACATAATAAACATTTAATAAAGAACAAAGTAAGTGTATTACTAGATAAATGATTGGTAAGAAAATTAGCAAATACCAAATATAGTAGTATAGCAGCTGGGGCATTAAAGAGAATATAAATTGAGGCTAGATAATATATAATAAAAAATGGTAACAAAATCATTACTAAAAATAAGATATATTTAAAAAAGAATATATTATAAAACCAGAAAAATGCTATATAGAAATGAAGATAATAACTATAAGAAAAGGAATATAACTGGAGTGCATACGTGGGTAGTGGTCATAGACCCATGGTGCAAGTAAAGTAAAAATGTAAATATAAATACTTAATATTGCTCAGAAGAGGTTCCATGAAGAATCATGTTAATAAAGAAAAAAATCAAAAGGTATAAAAAAAAAAATAGTTAAATGATATAAACCCTAATTCATAAAATGACAAAGCTCAAAATCTCTATTGAGTCCATGTGGAATTAGAGTGTTAAATTCAAAAATATATTTCATGTCTACCTGCCCCAGCTTATTGATGTAGTCGAAAAAAGGCAAAGGGTATTAGCGCTTATATAAAGATATTACATTTTTAAGAGTATATCTCCAAAAAGTATATTTAATAATAGCAGCTGACACCAAGAAGTGTGACTTCTCCACAAACACCAACAAGATATAAAAGATTCAGAAGTGTAGCACTTTTAAATATGAAAGGTTTACCTTAATAACAGTGGTTATGGTAGTTTTACAAAGTTAACATTTTTCAGACCTAAAATAGACACAAATAATACCATATGGTGCAGTTTATAAATAAAAATATAGTAATGATAAAATGGAGTTTATAAATAAAACACTCACAAACAGGGAGCTATAAAACCTAGCTCCGGTGTGGATCGCTTCTGGGTCAGTTTAGGTGACCCACCCCTATCTGGAATGTGTGTTCCGTCGTAAGGGAAAGTATATAAACACACAATTCCAGATAGGGGTGGGTCACCTAAACGGTCTGAAAAATTGTAACTTCGTAAAACTACCATAACCACTGTTATTAAGGTAAACCTTTCGTATTTAAAAGCGCTAACCTTCTGAATCTTTTATATTATTGATGTGGTCGCCATCTCTCCAATCATAGTTCACCTTTTGAATGCCTTTAAACTGCAGAAGCAAGGGAGAAGCATTGTGGTGATCCTTAAAGTGAAAGGATACCTGCTGTTTCTCAAATTTACGTTTTATGTTGTATACATGCTCCGCTACTCTCGTGCGTAAAGGTTTAGTAGTGCACCCGATGTAATTGAGGCCATGCAGGCATGTGAGCATGTACACAACTCCACTAGAGTGACAAGTAATGCACTCTCTGATAATGTAGTTCTGGCCATTAACTACATATTGTGTGATATGGCATCTTTGGAGTTCGTGATCTGGCATCCCCTGCATCTACCACAGCCAAATAAGCTGTTATATTGAGCTAGGAAGTTGCCTTTATTCTCCTCTTTATTTTTTACAAGAATACCATCAGTGAAGGCTCTTTTTAAGTTTGGTAAACCTCTGTGTACAATTTTTTTGGGGGAAAGGTAAAATCTCCTTAAGTATTGGATCATTCAACAACAAATGTCAATGTTCCTAACTCTAGCGTTGTGGTTGCCAAAAACTTGGCAGATGAAAGGGACTTGGTCTACTTGATTATTCAGGTCTTTTATTTTGTATATTAGTGGATCTTCTCTTTCAATATTATCTACAGAATTTAATGCCTTTTGTAAAAGATGATCATTGTGGCCCCTTTCTATAAACTCTTTTGTAATTGTTTGTCCTTGGTTCATAAAGGATTCTCTTTCCATACAGTTACGTTTAAGTCTGATAAACTGACTCTTTGGTACGTTATGGAGCCATGGGCTAAAATTACAGGTGTTTTTTTTTTTCAATGTAACTATTTACAGTAACGCTTTAAAAAAGGTTTCAGTTTTAATTATATTGTCTTGTATGTAGATGGACAGATCTAAAAAATCTAGCATTGGGTTGTCGAAGAATAGGGCCACATATGAATCTGTTTTTTAATGATTCAATAGAATCATGTTCCCTTTCCCCCAAATGAAATGGTTGATCTTGTTAAGTATAGTTTGTTAGAGGAGAAACGATGTGAGAATGTTTTTAATACATTTTCTATAGAAATTAGAAAATCCAATAAAACATTGAATCTCTTTTTGGGATTTAGGTTGGGGCCAATTTGTGGTAACTTCAACTTTTTGGAGATCCATACGGATAGAAGAATCAGCTATTATGTAGCCCAAAAAAGGAATTTCACTTTTTTCAAAAAGATACTTTTTGGGTTTTGGCAAACAACTTATGAACTCTAATGGGTTGGAGTACCTTTTTTACTTGTTTGGTATGTACTTCTTTATCTTGTAAAAAATATAAGGATGTCATCTAAATAAACAACGATAAAATCATCTAAGAAATCCCTGAAAATATCTTGAATTAAATTTTGGAAGGAGGAAGGAGGTAGGAGCATTACAAAGGCTGACTGGCATCACTAAGTACTCAAACTTACCATACCTCATTCTAAATGCTGTTTTCCATTAATCTCCTGGGAGAAGGAATTAAATTTAGTGATACCCCTTAATGATTGGCTAGCCTCCTTAATTAATATAAACAAATATATACACTGTTTAAATCTGACTGAATGCCACTTTAAGGTTGTACACAGATGGTATTTTACTCCAACAAGACTGACAAGAATGTATGAAACATACGATTCTACTTGCTGGAGATGTGGCTCGTACCCGGGCACATATATTCATATATGGTGGGACTGTCCACTAGTTAATCCGCTTTGGGTATGGGAATTTAATATCTTTTATATAGTTACACTTATTAAACTCAATAAAAATCCGGCCATCGCCCTTTTACACTTGAATTGGCAATTAGTCACATGAATATATCTGTTTTGCTATTCACTGCTTTGTTGCAGTCAAAATCATTATTGCCAGGCAATGGAAGACCTAATTTATTTCAGAAATCCTGTTTGATTGACCAAATTATATTTCAATTAACAATGAAAAAAGAGATTATAACTAATACTACTGTTTTTTTGTTTTTTTTTAAAGTGTATGGTACTCCAACTGGCTTCAAAAACTTTCCAATATTACATTGTAATATATTTTTGTTTCAGTGTTTTTTTTTGTTTTTTTTTCTCCCAACCACATAAAAATATATAATAATAACTATGGTCTCAATCGGGTCCCTTTTTCTTTGTACTTTTTTGTACTGTTATACGGTAATAAGCTCTGTATCCATTAGGCTTTGATATATTATTAGGAAATTCCTCCTGCTCTGTATAGGTGGTGGATTATTTCTGGTGTCTTGGTTTAGTCTCTGTGTGTATTCAATTTATCTTGTATAAATAAGAAGATTGTCCTTATCATATTAACCGAATACTATTGTATTGTTATTTGTCTATTAATTATGATATAGTGAAAAATCTCTAATAAAAATTTATTATATAAAAAAAAAATCTCTGGCTCTTATACGGAGAAGGTTATAGGCTTCCCAGAGGTCTAGTTTGGTAAATATTTTAGCATTTTTGATTCTCTCCAAAATTTCACGGATTAGTGGGAGTGGGTAACAGTTCTTTATGGTTATTTTATTTAATTGTCGGTAATCAATTATTGGTCTTATGGTTCCATCTTTACTGGTAACAAAAAAAAAAAATACCTGCTCTGTGTGAATCCTTTTGCTAAGTTAGTATCAAGGTAGTCAAGGAGGGTTTTAAGTTCCGGTTCTGATTGAGGCTATGTATGATTAAAAGGAATTTTTTTATCCTTCCAATAAATCAATAGTACAATCATATGGTCTTGAGGGGGGTAATGTAGAGGTTTCTTTTTTTTTTTTACAAAAAAATGCTTGAAATTCCAAATACATTGTTTTTTTACAATTAGAATTACAAAAAAATTGAATTAAAGACAATAGAATTATTAGACCAATCGATGGAGGGATTATGTTTAAGAAGCCAAGGAAGGCCAAGAGCTATGTCAAAAATTGAAGAAGAAACAAGATCAAAGGATATTTCTTTGGAATGAAAATCCCCTTTATTGTTTATATTAACACTAGAGGTTTTAGCTAACAGAATCAGAAATAATGAAAAGATTAAGGGTGTTACAGCAAAACAGAAAGAAATGAAAATATCCCTTTATGCCGACGATACTATTCTTTTTTGAAATCATCAAGATCAATAACAAATGCAATGTCAGAAATTGATATATATAGTGCAGTATCAAATTATAAATTAAATAAAACAAAATCAACTGCCATATATATGAATATGACAAAGCAAGAAATAGATTCTTATCAAGAAACATATGGTTTTATTAAAGCCAAAACGTTTTTGTATTTGGGAATCAAAATTTGCAGAAAGGTAGAAAGTATTATGAGAATAAATTTTATGGATCTCCTTAAAGAGACTAACAAGAATTTGAAAGAATGGAGAAAACTAGAAGTATCTTGGGGAGGAAGAATAAATATTTTGAAATCATATGTTCTACCAAAATGGATTTACTTGTTCAGAATGCTTCCGTTAGAAATTCCGAATGCATGGCTGACAATGATTAATAAGGCTTTTTGGATTTTGTATGGCAAGGAAAAAAACCTAGAGTTAAAAATGGAGTTTTAGCAAGAGGAATAAAGAAGGGAGGTCTAGGATTTCCAAATATAAGAAAATATTATGAAGCAGGAATTATTACGCATGTTATGGCTAGTCAATTGATACAAAACAAAGAGGAAGTATGGTGGTGGTTGGAACTAGATTATAGCCAACTAAGAAGTAAATTAGAAGTCGTCTGGAGTACAAAAAAACGTAATCTGCCCAGATCATATGTTTTAGGACAGATTATTCCTATTTGGCAAAAAAATAAGGAAAAAAATAGGTTTGGTAAATAAGATATTTGGCTTTCAAAATTTAGAAATAATAGAATTAAATATGGAGAGTATATCCTTAAAATTATGGAAAGAAAAAGGAATAAATACTTTGGAGGATCTATTTGAAGGAAATAAAATTAAATCTTATAAAAAGTTAGTTGAGGAATTTAAGTTCCCTGACAAAGATATTTTTACTTATTATAGAGTAAAACATTACTTGGAGAAAGTTGAGGTAGTAAAAGAAGGTAAGATGTATGATATTTTAAAAACAATCTTACATCAGAATAAGACAAAGCAATTGTTCTCCAGATGTGTTAGATTGTTGGATTTAATGGATGATTCTGTTCTGCCCACTGCCATTAAAAAATGGAACACTGAATTAAAAATAAATATTGAATTATTTGAATGGCTATGTACGGCACAAAAAATTAACAAATATGTCCACTCCTTTGTATTGATAGAAACACATTTTAAGTTGGTTAATCAATGGTATATGACGCCAACAAAAATAGCTAAATTTGATGTATCAAGGGATATTAAATGTTGGAAATGCAGGGAGGAAAAGGGAAATTATATCCATATGTGGTGGTCATGTAAACAAGTGATTGGTATATGGCGGTGGGCTCAAATTATCATTCATACATTGTGTGATGTTAAAATGCCTTTAAAACCTGAAGTAATGTTATTACATTATAAATGGCCAAAATTGAATAAAATAAATCAATTTTTAATTATTCATTGTCTAATGGCATGTAAAATAATAATAGCAAGAAATTGGAAGGGAGATATCCCCTTTAACATAAAATTAATAACAATTCAGTTGGTTTACCAACTAAAAATGGAGAAAGATCATTGCAAACTTTTGAGGGATGATTTGAGCCTATGGGAAAAATTGGAGAAAAAATTATTACAACTGTAAAAGGAATGTCATTTGAAAAAGTTGGAAAAAGTTTGAAGTCTGTAGAACTCTCGTGGGGTGGTGGAAAGTTTTTTTTGTGTTTTTTTTTTTTATCTGTTTTTATGTGGATGAATGTATTTTAATTATTCTTTTGTAAAATGTATTTATGGTGGAAAATCTGCTAATAAAAAGACAATAAAAAAAAAAAAAAGAATTACAAAAAAATTGAATTAAAGACAATAGAATTATTAGACCAATCGATGGAGGGATTATGTTTAAGAAGCCAAGGAAGGCCAAGAGCTATGTCAAAAATTGAAGAAGAAACAAGATCAAAGGATATTTCTTTGGAATGAAAATCATTGATCGTTGATGAAAGTGTGGTAGTTTGATATACAATTGAACCATATGAAGAGACAGAACCATCAAAAAGAATAATTTGAGAGGAAGGTGTTTTCTTAGAAAAAGGAATATTTAATGTATCTACTAATTTTTGGTTAATAAAACAACCATTGGCTCCCGAGTCAATTACAGCTGGAAGGTTGTTTATTTTTCCATTAACAAGAATTGAAAAGTTAATTGAAAAATGATGAATTGAAATATAATAAATGGAAGAAACAAGCATGGTGGATTTACCAATCTTGTTTCATTTAATGAGGGGACAATCAGGGAGTTGATGAGAGGAGGAGGCACAATATATACATACAATAAGTGTCTTCCTTTTTAATTTTTCTTCGGCTATTAATGGTTTCCTGTAAATACCAATCTCCATAGGTTCAGGTTTAGGGTTAATTGTAGAAGATGAAGAATTGTTTGAAGAATAAGGCAGTCTGTAATATAGAGAACTTATATACAATAAGGGTGCAAAATCACCAAAGTGGTACAAGTGGCAGAACCATAAGACAATTAAAAATTAGAATCACTGAACATATTAGGAACATAAAAAAGGGGTGTTTCCTTACATTTCAAACAAATTCACAATCAGAACCCAGAAGGCCTATTTTTTGTGTGCTATTAAAGAGGTAAAAAAAGATTGGAGAGGAGGAAATTATGTGAAAAAAATAGGTAAAAAGGTAAAATTAGGAGATGAAATTTATATACAATCTTAAAACTCTTATCCCTTATGGTCTAAATGCCAATTTTGAGGTCTCTCATTTTATAATTTAGCCATTTTTAACTTACTAATAAAGACTAATAACTCCCTGAAAACAGTGCTTATTTGAAGATTGGGGGGGGGAGAGGGGGGGAGGGGGGAGAGGGGAGAATCCACACAGAAGTTCATATCATCCCCTATGGTTCAACTGGAAATTGAACAGTTTTAAAATATTAAAAGTATCAGTCTCATTCATTTGGTATTTATTGAGATTGCCTTAGAAAAAGAGTTTATAAAATTGCCCTCTTCACATATATATTTTATCATATGAGATATTAATTTATTTAATATTTATTGAGATTGTCTTAAAATAATGAGTTTATCAAATTGCCCTCTTCACATATATATTTTTAATATATGAGATATTTACTCATTTAAGATTAAGATTTTATATTTATTATTTGCTCTGCTATATTTATTATTACAATCCTCTAACTACTTCCGTTCTATTTCATTGTTAATTTATTATTGTGGACCATTGAATGTTTATGAGTATCATTAACAATGATGAAAGACATTGGTCTCATAAGGACTTCCAAGACAAGAGGGAATAGCACAGTGGAACGCAAAGTGCGTTCTAACATAAGGGTACTGAACCTGAATTTCGACGAACGCAATGTTCCATGTTGCATCCCACAGATGGAAGGCATGGATGAGAAGAAATTATACAATACAGAAACACCATACCGGAAGTTTGTTGTAAGCAACGCAGAACGATGCGGTCCAAGGCTGAAATGCATGGAACATTTCCGGTAAGAAAACAAGGAAATAACAATTAAGCACCATTTAAAAGGAAGGCAAGCTAGAAGCCATTACACAGCAACTGAGGAAGCCTCCCAGAGAGGCAAAATGCATTTTGCTATTGACTGCAAGACTGTAAGAACTTGTTATTTTATTTATAGTGTTTTTAACTATGTTTTTGTGCACTTTATTATGAATAAAGCACTTTATAAAAATGAACTTTCGTGACTACAATCAAATCTATTTAAGCTGCTTTGCTCCATAAGAGAGGGAGTGGGACCCTGAGAATTCACTAAGCTGAAATGTTGAGCCAAGGAGAACTGGCTCCTCACTTGTGCGTGCATTCACATATACATTATTACTGCAACGTATAGATACAGGCAATATTGCACTAACTTGTATTTCTCTCTTACTTTAGGATTATATCCACTAAGAACCAACTACCTAATCTTTTAAATTTGGACCCTATCTTTCCTGTACCATTCACATACAACATTAAGGAATCTGATGTAAGATAAACCACCATATATATAAAATTGGTATATAGAGAAGTTTGGGATTTTTCCTTATGTCTGTCTCGAAATCTACGATCTAATTGGATTGTTAAATCAATTAATTCTTTGAAGGAGGAGGGAATACCAAGTCAAGCTAATTCATCTCTAAGAGGTTCTGATAAACCAATCTGATATTATTATTATTATTATTATTATTATTATTATTATTATTATTATGTTATTATTTATATAGCGCCAACAAATTCCGCAGCGCTTTACAGTAGGTGGATGAACAAACATGTAGTTGTAACCACACAAGTTGGACACAAAGGAACAAAGGGGTTAAGGGCCCTGCTAAATAGGCTTACATGCTAGGATGTTGTAGACCGATGTTGCAGAGTATGAGAAGAAGCTGTTGATGATCAACAGTGTCAAAAGCCGCAGAAAGGTAAAGAAGAATTAGGACAGAATAGTGATCATGAGATTTTGCAGGGAGTAGATCATTGGATACTTTGGTCAGTGCTGTTTCCACAGAGTGCTTAGCATGAAAACCAGACTGAAGCGGGTCTAGCAGAGAGTTGGACTCAAGGAAGTCTGTCAATCTCGTATACACAACTTTTTCAAGGATCTTGGATGCAAAAGGCAGTAGCGAGATAGGTCGGTAGTTGGACGGGGAGTTAGGGTCAAGGTTGAGCTTCTTTAGAATTGGAGATATAGTTGCATGTTTAAAGGGTGATGGAAATATGCCAGAGGAGAGAGAGAAGTTGAGCATTTTAGTGAGAGGTAGCGAAAGAGAAGAAGAAGACAGAGTATGTATGAGATGCGAGGGAATTGGATCAAAGGAGCAGGTGGTGGGGCAGGAGGACTGGAGCAGAGTAGAAACCTCTTCCGCTGTAGCGGGTGCAAATGAGCATAGAACAGCAGAGGGAGTGAGGTTAGGGGAAGTATTGTAAGGGGAAGACGAAAGATGAGAGTTCTCTTCCCTGAGTAGAGCTCTTGTCAGTGAAGTGAGTTGAAAAGTCTGAGACGGTCAAGTTAGTAGGTGGAGGAGGAACAATTGGGTGAAGAAGAGAGTTAAATGTGTGAAATAGTCATTTGGGTTCGTGGGAGAGTGCATTTATGAGGGTATCAAAGTAATTTACATGTGCAGAGGAAAGAGCCACGCTGTATGAGCGCAGCATAAATTTATAGTGGAGAAATCAGACGCACAGTAAGACTTTCTCCAACAGCGTTCAGCAGTTTTGGAGCATTTTTAAAGATATCGAGCCAGCTTGGTGTGCCAAGGTTGTTGTTGGGGAGTGCTTGCTGCACTTAAATGTAGGAGGTGCCATGATGTCTAGTTGAGAGGAGAGGGTGGTTCCATTGGCCATCTTTATTTTTGGCGGAGTATTGGCAAAGGTCCACATAAGTCCTTCAGATGATATGTTTGGGATTCCTAAAATGTTATGCTCATAAAGAACATAACAATGAAAACGCAGAATAAAATATCAATATTGGGAATTAGATATTGTACAAAAATGTCTACAGAACAATAAATATGGATCAAATCAATATAGCTAAAAACCGAAAAATCTTAAATGGAACCCATGATGATTTCTAAAAAATTCTAAGGAAATTCTGAGAGGATTGGGAGAATTATACAATCAATTACACTTTATAAATATTAAATAAATACTATATGAATAAAATAATCAATTAATTGTTGGGGATAAAATCAGCCCGGGCCCTTTGTGGATGATGGATATTTGCCAACTCATACAGAGCTCTGGAAATTGGAAATGAATAGCAGAGACATGTTCGATAACCAATTCAAATTGTATTCATACGTCAGTTATATTTATACCCCATTTTCATAGCAGGATGGGAGGGGGAAAAATGAGCATATGGGCGTGACAATGACATTGTTTTTCACAAGTTATAAACAGCTGTTTTTAGTTATAATTCGATGTTACATAATGTATGCATATTGGATAAAACCCAGATGATTACAAATACCAAAATCTTGGACAATTAACAAGGTCATTCCAGAATCCTTATCATGTCATGTCATGTCATGTAGATATCCAAAATCATGTTCCAATAACATTTCCCGTAAATAGATAAGTTTTATTTCCGAGAATTGGAGATACAATTCCAAATCTATTCTTGGTTCAAATTAACCCTTATATGAACAGCTAGGCTATTGAGCAAAATGGATGTTCGCATCTACAATTCCCCTCTTAGATCATATCATGATCTACCTTACGGAATATCCATGGGAGGCCTGCGGCAGAGAAACCAAAGGAGGTATATTTAGACGTGCTAATCACGTCTGCGGGACTTTCATTATTTCTTCACCTCAATTTCCCCCATTTGCTCTGTGCCGTAGGTTTTCCCTTTAAGAGGAGATCGAGCTGTCAATTTTCAGCTTCTGTAATCATCTGTTGTACACATCTTTTAAGTATACAAGTTAAAAATTTCAAACAGCTGACATCTTAACCAATTTTAAACATACTGCACATCATGTTATCTGTAACTTGAGCCTTGGATCAAAACAGGCAAAGTGTATTATTCCCAACAACGGGAATATTATTATTATAATTCACAACGTAAACACATATAATCAGAAATGGGAATAATATCTATTCCCCCTCTTTGGACCAGGGTCTTGGATTACCAGTCCAACCCAGTGAACTTGGGCCAGGTCAAAAAGCCCAGTGGCAAAAACTCATAACTGAGGAAAAAAGCACATCTGGGTAAATTCTAAGTGAGGGCCATGACTGTGTAGACATGTCATCCCCTCATGTTGACAGCATTAGTGACTTATAAAACCCGCACTTGTAAGTAAATAGCTCGGGTATTGGGATTGGGAAACACTTCTTGATTAGTTTGAAAAGGCCCACTTACATATTAAATCATGAGATCATTTCTAATCAGTTTGCAATTCTAGCAATAATCCCAATCATGACCTTGCGTCCAATGCCTCCTAATCAAACCCCTATTTCGATGGTCCAGTCATATCCACACTTAATACATTGGAATCCATCCTTGGTACACTCAACATACATCAATGACACACATAGTACATCCATGCCTGAGTAAGCTAACACTTCCTCTCTCTCCGGCTAACTCTACAAAAATAAAAATAACAAAATAGTTCAATAGTCCAGCATAATCCAGAAAAATATTATAAGTCTTTCAAGGAGTAAAAAGAATCTTAGACACCATAAACTTTGTTCCATAATCTTAGACACCATAACATAGCTAAGTGTAGCAATATGGCTGATAACAAGACAATGTCAGCTTCCACATAGTTCTTAATTCTTCTGTTTGCTGGATGTTCACCACAATACTCTGTGCAACACCCCAATTGTTGAAAGGGTAATACAGAAATAGCGGCATTAGACAGCACTGCATCTTCAGGACTTTCCAAGTTAGTTTATGTCCTCATAAGTAAGCATCTCAGTTTTTTCGGCCAGCATGGATTTTGACCAAACAGATTTAATTGCAAAAAAAGGTAAGTAGGCAGGTAGGTCAGCCAGAGAGATTAGTGTGTAGTCCCAAATATCAGGCAGCACAAATACTCCAGTACGGTCTCTATAATCATACAAACACAAGGATCAGTACGACATCAATAAATTAATTATCTAGGCTAAACTCAAATTAGAGACTAAAGTTAAACTCTTAACTAGTGTAACATGTACGTCTCTCAGTTTTGTTTATGTCCTTTATGTTTATGTTTTTGTATTTGTCCTTTATAAAATTTTAATACATAATTTCCCTTTAAAATGCCTTTGTATGGATGAGAGAAGCACTCATTCTATATAAATGCTTGTTGAGTACTAAAACACTGACATATACATATTGGTATAATTCCCAATAAAATGCTGTTCTTAAACTTAAACCTTGATTTGATAATCTCAATTAATTACTTTAATAACATTGAAATGCTGAAGTCTGTCAGTTTTGTGGACCCTGATAACATCTTTGGAAACCGAAACCTTTTATAGATCCCGATGTGTGTGATCATGTTTTAATACATGTTGGAACCTCCATACAGTTATCCCACTTAAACAATATATTTATTTTTTTCAGAACAACTAGGAATGAAATAGGAGAAACAAAATAAATTACTATTGTTCTAAAGTGCTTTGTTTAATACAGGTTTCGGAAGAGTTGTCTTGCTGTGTTGCAAGTGGCCTCTGATAAGGAAGGGACAGCAAACTGTAGACATATGTTATATTAAGTTGCTCTCACTTGTCAGGTCTTGGAAACCCACTTATTTTATTGCAGATGCCTCTAGGATACCACGTTACAAATTGACTAAGCATACTTATTATTATCCTATTTTATTTTATTTTATTTATTTCACAGTGTGCAGCCTATGCAAACAATGTCTAGGTCCCAACTTCAGTTTGTACATCCTCTAAGAGCCAGCATTAATACTGTTTTATCTATCAAAACTATATATAAAGTATTAAAAATATGAACCATTTGTGTATTAGGCTGAGGTTGTTGGGTGTGGGTATAGCTTGAAAGTTGTGGTTGGTATTGAGGAATCTGCCAGGGTGGGAGTCCTTGAATGTCAGCTGGGCCAGGTTGACCAGGAGAACCGGGTTCACCACAAGCACCGTGGGGTGAATCCCTGCTATCCACAATTAAAACAGTGCTGAAGTTACCACCTCTACAAAAGTTAGATCCTTTGATCAAATTCTCTACCTCTGCCTCTAAAACTTTTCTGATTCAATCTCCTATCACCTCCAAAATTTCTTTGTCTCGCCTGCTTAAGATCACAATCCTTTTGTGACCGATACAACATACTTTTCCCTCTTTCTTTATATCAAAACAACCTGCTGTATCTTTCTCATGAATCTTCCCAAGAAATTCAGTTGGGGTCAAAGAGGGCCAGTCACAGACCAACAGTTTGACCAAAAGTGAACAAGGGGGAAGCATATTCCATATGAAGGTCGAGATGACCTAACTCACACCCCCTCTTTGTGTACACCTATTTGTGTACCACACAGATATAATATTAATAAGCTTTTGAAGATTTATTGTGCATGTATAGCACGGTTGTCTAGGGGTGTATACATAAACAGTGAAAGCAGAGTCTTAATATAGGGTTTGCAATACTGACAGTCTGGGTCATAGGTGTAATACAGACATGTGGTTAGGAACTTTTCCATTGCCAGAATACATTGAAAACACTAATATATTGCAAATATTAAAATCATATTGCAGCTGTTTCCTATACCTGCAAGGATATGGTTGTAATACTTCAATTGAGTTCAAATTGAGTATCAAAAATTCTAACCACAAAAACTAAATTTTATATGCTTATCAAAAATGAGTTTAACCCCTTAGCAATTTAATAGGGTGACCTCTTCCTATAGTATGGTTCCTTTTATAATTATTATATTATTTATTCTTTTCTGGGTCTGCAAAATGCTTTCAATATACCAATACAAATATAATACCGTAGTTTAGAATTGCCTCAAAGAAATTATCTGATCTCTATTAAAAATACCATTTCATCATTTTCCTATAATCAATGAGGCATACTAGAAGAATCTTAATTTTGGAAAAAACCTATCCTATACATCCATAATTTTTTCTTGTTATATAACCATATAACATAACAATTGTTTATGTTAAAGATAACAAATTTTTATTTTTCTTAAATAATGCAATGCACTTTAAAAGTAGAGTTAACTCTAAATACTCCCCTAATAATACTGAAACATGGATCCATGATTTTGAAAAGCAAATGATATATTTTTTCTTTCCCAGGGGCCCCTTTCTTGTTGGCTGATCAGCGTTTTTTAATCTGTTGTAAAAAGACACTAAAGGCTTGCGTTAATGACATGCAAATATTCTTTAAATATTCTTCATACTCATTGTAATATCACACATCATCTTATAGCACAGAAAACATGTAGCAGATATCCAGCAGACATGCCAATACAAAAAGCATATTAATCCAAAATAAATTAATAAATGTCACACTCTGTGACAAAGATAATATAGGTTCCCATGTTTGTGCATTATGCATGTCTGCAAACTATGCAAACAGTACTACTTTAAGATTAGATCAGAGCACCTGGCAACTGGACAGGAAGGTCAAATTTTGGCAGGAAGTCCATTATTGCAACAGAATTTTGGAAATCAGCTAAAATTTACAAAAACAGCCTCCCTCCTTTTTTTCTTTCTTAAGACTACAACTCATATTGCTCTTGGACTAGTATTCAATAATAAATCAGTTATTTAATAGATTATTACGCTGCCATTTTCATCTGTATCAATACTAAGACAAACTTATTCAAATATAATTTAAAATAACACAGCAAAATACCCATTAACATACATGACAATTAAACTGCGCACTTTAAAATGAGTAACCAAAACAAACATTCATCACTATCACCATTTACACAGAATAAACTTCTAACAGCTGTATTCAGAACATATTATTGTAAGGTATACCAATTTTAGTTTGTATCGGATTTATTTAAGATTTCTGGTACCAAAGGGTTTATTTTTTCTTTTTAAAGAAGGGATCCCGTACGGCCATATAACGCGTTTGACTTAAACATTTGTATAACACTTGCATTAACCAGTTGCGACATATGTACCCTGTCAATAGAATTTCTCTCTTATACGCTTATAGAACATTTGGACCAGATTACACAGACATGGTATCACCTGCATTTGTCAGAACTCTCAAAGACTCAAAATATTTATACTACTCCATGTTAAAGGCAAGGCAAAATTTTGACCGGTCAATTTGAGTTTCCAAAAGTCATATCAACACAGGTAAAAACCTTTGTCCATGGTTTTCTGATCCTACATTCCATGACCAAAATTTCAAACCCACTTCTTCACAGTTTGGGTCACAATCAATAAAATCTCAGCAACCCCATTCAACAATTTACAAAATACATACAATTTAAAGCACATACAACATGTGACGTACTGGAATACTACAAGTTAGCTTACAGCACAATATGAAGCATGTGTTGGAACGCTGAAAATATAAATTTTGCTCTCTTCTAAATTTACAACATAAATTCTCTGCAACAAACACACAGGGCAGAAAGAATGTGGTGTTTGACGTTTTGAATGAAGTGACTTTTTGTCCCAATATGAAAATAAAGGGCTCATCATATAAACAATCATACATCCCACTCTCATGAAAAAGTGTAGTGGGCTTATAGTACTTTTGTCCAAATATAAAAATAAGGGCTCATTATGCAAACAAACATACATGCAGATAAATCATGTTAGTTCTAGAATTTGTAGCCCCCCTTAAATAACCTCTAATTTTTTTTTTTATTCATCATCACCTTTACATGTACTTTTGACATTCCCTCAATTAAGACTTTATGCTTAAAATCAGCGTTGCACACCATAAAATAGCACATAAATTAGCAAGCCGGAGTAATGCCAAACATCCATCATACCTTTTAACCCCCTTTTTTTTATTTATTTTTTTTGTTATCTAAACCATTTTAGTCTGTAACATTTACATCTACGTTAAATAAATACCACAGTCCACCAAAGACTGGAAATCTGTTTTACAACCTACCAAAGGCAACCTCTACCAAAGAGGAATCTAGGGACGTCTCCCATATGTAAATGTACATCACAGGTACATCACAGCCTACCAAAGGCTTGAAATTCTTTTTAACACCTGGCCAAAGCTGAACCTCTTACCAAAGAGGAAATGTGCACATAACTACTACTGCCTACCAAAGACAATCCTCCAACCCGTGGAGTAATAGAAGTCTACCTAAGACTTATAAATACCATGTCTACCAAAGACATTATGCAGTGAAAATCCCCTTTAAAATTTTAAATAGTGAAAAACCCCATTACAAATGCAATGTGTGGGGGATGGGAGAAGCAGGTAAAGAAGGACTTTAAAGATCCTCTTGCCTGTCATCTCCGTTCCGTCCAATTGCACCCAAAAACATCTGACACCAGTTTGTTGGGGATAAAATCAGCCCGGGCCCTTTGTGGATGATGGATATTTGCCAACTCATACAGAGCTCTGGAAATTGGAAATGAATAGCAGAGACATGTTCGATAACCAATTCAAATTGTATTCATACGTCAGTTATATTTATACTCCATTTTCATAGCAGGATGGGAGGGGGAAAAATGAGCATATGGGCGTGACAATGACATTGTTTTTCACAAGTTATAAACAGCTGTTTTTAGTTATAATTCGATGTTACATAATGTATGCATATTGGATAAAACCCAGATGATTACAAATACCAAAATCTTGGACAATTAACAAGGTCATTCCAGAATCCTTATCATGTCATGTCATGTCATGTAGATATCCAAAATCATGTTCCAATAACATTTCCCGTAAATAGATAAGTTTTATTTCCGAGAATTGGAGATACAATTCCAAATCTATTCTTGGTTCAAATTAACCCTTATATGAACAGCTAGGCTATTGAGCAAAATGGATGTTCGCATCTACATTAATAACTAGTTATAAAAATCTAATGGATATATTATATAAAATGGTAGTATAAACAATCTATATGGTAAAAAATGTCATAATTCAAAATCATCATTAAGTCCATGTGGTTGCATAGTATTAAGGTTAAAAATCTATTGCATCTCTGTTTCCCAAAAATGGTAGGGGTCACTATTGTGCTTGTTTTTAAAATGCAATGAGACGCTATGCTTTTCAAAACCTTTTTTGATGTTCCTTACTTGTTCCTGGTTTCTAGTATATAGTGACCTAATGGTCCTCTCTACATATGACAACCCACAAGGGCAGGTGATCATATATATCACGTTAGTGGAATGGCATGTAATCATTTGTTTAATTTAAAGAAATAAATTCTGTCTAGTGGATGGCAAAACTCCTTTATTAGTCATTTTTGTTTGTTGAGTTTTTACATGTCCTTCATGTACCACAGCCATAGAATCCACTGGATTCATTAAAAAAATTATTTATTGATCTCTTTGGTGGTATATGATTATGCACTAGGTTACTTCCTAGATTTCGTATACCCCGATATGTTATGATTGGCTTTTATTGGAGTAAAGAATTAAGAACTGTATCATTTCTCAGGATGGGCCAATATTTTCTAGTGATTTTCTTTAGATGACCGCTATTACAGTTAAAATCCCAAATAAAGTTCAAATGTTGATATTCTATATTGTACCTTTTTTTCCTTGTATTTTATTAATTTGTTTCTATCTCCGTTTTTAACGTCATTATCAGCCCTTTCTAGCAATAATCATTTATTAATTTTATTGCTTGTTCCTGGAAATATAATCGGTGCAATTATGCTTGATCCTCAAAAGTTGTGCTTTAAGTGCGTTCAAAAGTGCAAGTTTTTATTGTGTTCTCTTCCACATAAATATTTAAATTTAAAAAATTCTACTGATGATTTCTAAAATTTCTAGTGAGCTTAATGCCCGAATTATTAACATTTAAGTGGGTTAAAAAAGTGACTAGTGACTGTTCGTCTCCCCTCCAAATTAAAAATATATTGTCTATGTAAGGCGATAGACTATGAGGCTCGTATCCCACCTATGGTCCTTGTGGATAAATTCACGCTCCCACAGTGACATGAACAAATTAGCATAGCTGAATGAGAACCTCGTCCAGATTTGCAAATAAAACTGTTCTCCAAACCAATTATAATTGTTGGTTAAAATCCACTGAATACCCTCAATAATAAGATCGATTTGACTATCTTAAAATTTGCTAGAATGTTCTAAAAAATACATAGTTGCCCTTAAACCCTTTGCATGGAAAATAATAAGATACTGATAGTGTCTTTCAGATAGCTTGGGCAGGTACTAACAATAGGCTGCAGGCACTTATCAATATATTAGGATAATTTACTAGAGATTGATTCAATCACTGAATCTATTGGTCTACCGGGAGGTTTGTCCCTATCCTTATGTATTTTTGTGAGGTAGTGAAATACAGGGATTTTAGGATGTTGCACATTTAAAAACGTGTATTCCTTTTTGTTTAAAACCCCCAGTCTTTTCCCATTCTCAATTAATTTATTATAACTTAATTTAATGTCTTTTGTAGGATCTATGTTTAAAATCTGATAGGTCTTATTATCACTAAATAATCTGAGTGTTTCCTTCACATAATCTTCAATATCAAAAATTACAATGCCCCCACCCTTGTCAGCTGGTTGATGACTATGGTTTGGTCCTCTCTCAATTCTTTTAGAGCGTGTCTTTCCTTGAAACCTAAACCTAAATTGTATTTATGTATTTGTTTTTTTTTTCCATTTTGTTTACCTCACTCATTACAATCTCAAATCCAAACAAAACAGAAAAAAAAAAAAAATTGTCACAAAATTCTCCAACTCTGTGTGTGCTGCTATAAGTCATTATGTCTCTGTTTGAGAAAAGATCCAGGTATGGACAAAATATAGATACTTTATTCAGTAATCAAGAAACCAGTAATCAAATAATCAAGAAGGGAAAGTAATGACAAGAAATTAAAACAAGATTATGCAATTTATGCTATAAACTAGAAAAGCTATTAGGAAGAGAAATTAAAATCAGGTGGGAAATAGCCACATTAGACAAGTATACCAGAGAGAGAATCACTCAAGAGGCCTAAGGTTTACAAAAAGCCCCTCATTTGATCAGTAGGAGGAGGACTTTATAAAAGAATAGATGGCCCTCTTGGAGAGTGTTTCTTTTGGAATGATGGATTCAGTCATAACTGCATAACTCCTATGTATGTCATCATTAACCTGTATTGTTTACTACCCCTGCCAGGTGGATCTGGTTGCTCCTCTATTCGGAGGGTCCTGACTTTTTTTTTCCGCCTGCACTTCATTAAGGTGGGTGGCAGCCTGTTCAGCTATTTTGTTGGGTGCTTCGCTCATGGGTATCTTACATTTGGTAAACTGGTCTAGGGAGAAATAATTTAGATCTATTTCCACTGCTCTTCTACTGCTGCTTTTTCACGTAGTCTCAGCATTAAAAATGCAAAATATGAAGTCTCATGCATATGCTAGCTTTAGTGTACTTATAATCTTAATTTTAATAATGACAGGAAGTGAGTTATTTTCCCTTCCTTTGCCTTGCCCTTCTTTTAATCCACGCTGTCTGTTCTCATATTTGTTATCCTTCTTCATGATGGTATTGTTTTGGTGTAGTTTGCTGGTTTTATTCGCTTATACTTTTCCATTCTTCGTGATCTTATATTTCTAGTTTTTATCTGAGTTATTTTTAGATTATTTATGTTATCTATAGTTTGAATTATTTAGTTGTTTATGAGTAAATTAATTGTTGCACACATTGTAATTGATATGTGACTAAGCCTGTTACACATTTTCTTTTCAGTTTAATTCGCTTCAGTGGACACTTTTGCTGTTCTGGTCTGGTTGTCGGAGTACTAATTTTACAGGACGCTATTCCAGAAGTTCAGTAAAGAAATAATAAAAGGCAATCTAGATGTGGACCCCTTGCTCACGGTGCAAAGAGGGATATTGGCTGTACCTCATTGATGATGCCTAAAAAGGTTGCAATGATCATCTGGGGTTGCTCTATCTCTCGTTCAGAGAGAGTCAGCCTGTATTTTGGATCTGTTTTGCCCTTCTAGGTAGAATTAGTCTGAGATACAAATTGCATGGTTCTCTCTGTAATGGTACAAGATGGGCTAAAACCAGCTTGAGAACTGAGCGGAGACCCACTGAAGGGCAGGGCTTGTTGAGCTGATGTACGTTCTCATTTGTGACTTGTTTTTTGCAGGTGAGTGAGTATCCCCTGTGGGAATAGTGGGTTACCTGTCAATGGGTATAGTGTGAAAGGGTATGAGGCTAATGATAGTAATTTTTTTATGTTGTTCCATATATGGAGGGTCGGGGACATGGTAGGATGTGGAGTTTGGCATGAGCAGAGAAAAATGGTTCCCGTCTTATGCCAGGGAATAATGATTAGTGGTATCAGAAAGAACAAGTCCTCCAATAGTACCCAGTGGGTCTGGGGTTGGGTTGGTTATGCGTATATTCTGGTTAGTATAGTTGCTCTGTGGTATAGGCCTATGTTGGTTTATTCCAGGCGGTTGTGTGGACAAGCAGTTCGTAAATGAGGTTGTATGCCTTACTGAGATCTCTAGATAAGTGTACCCTAGATATTTTATGTCGTTTTCAGCCTAATCAAATGGGAAGAGGTTATTTAGTGATGTTTGGGATGAGTCATCTATTCTGAGGGGTAGGATCTCGCTTTTGGAGAAGTTAACTTGGATGTTGGATACCTTATTATACAGGGAGATTTCCTCCACAAAAGGGGCAAGTGATGTGATGGGAGAGGTTAGTGTGAATAGAAGATCATCGGTGAAGGCTGATACATTGAACTCATGTTGTTGTATCTGGAAACCTTGAATATCCTCTCTATCTTGAATCCCCTGAAGGAAAGGTTCCCTGGTTAGGATAAAAAGGAGAGCCATTCCGGATTATCACCATGTTTGAAAGTTGGCCATTGATTTTCAATTTGGCTGTGGGGTTGGAGTAAATGGCAGTAAGCCATCTCATCCAATTGGCACCAAAACCCATGGTATGTATAGTGTTTTTTAATAGTCACCATACTACCCTTTCAAATGCTTTTTTGGCATCAACAGATAGTAGAAGGCTTTGGTGTGGTTGTGTCCTTGACAGATGTATAAGGTTGAGTAATTTAGTGGTATTGTGCTTGGCCTCCCGCTCGGGTACAAAGCCAGATTGGTCTGGGTGAACCAGGTGTTGGAGTAGGGGGCGCAAACATGTTGCTAAGATTTTTGTAAATAGTTTAAGATCTATGTTGATCAGGAATATCGGTCGGTAACTGCCACAATTTGTAAGGTCTTTCTCTGGTTTTGGCAACAATTTTATGTATGCCTCTTAAGTGGAGGATGGTAGTGCTTAAGTATCCAATATTGTGTTCAAGGTGTGTATAAAGGGGTCAGCCAGTATGCTAGCAAACAACTTATAATATTTGGCCATAAAGCTATCTGGGCCTGGGCTCTTGTTTAAGGGTAGAGCATGGACCACTTTATCAAATTCTGCTTTCGTTAGTGGTGCATCAAGGGTTTGCCTGGTGTTGTCTGTTTGAGATGGCGGTGTCTCCCTCAGATTTTATAATTTAGAGTAATATTTGTGGAATTCTTCCATAATATCTGGCAGTGTGTGGGATAGTCCCTTATTTGAATGTTTGATCTTGCCTATGAATGTATTTTGTCTACATTGTTTCAGTGTATTGTCCTCCCATGGAATAGAGTGTTTGGTGCATAACAGTTTGCTTTTAACTTGAGTCTTTAAAAGTTGCTATATTTCTGAGCATTTGGAGATTGTTTATATACTACCAAGTTCTCTGTTTGTTTGTGAGTCAATTCAAGTATCTCATCAGTGAGGGTTTTTAGTTGAGCTTCCCGCATCTTTGCAATGTGTGTAAGGACGTCTTTGTTGTTGAGTAACATGTAATTTAATTTCCAAGGGATTTGGATAACAAGAGACAGGAGTGCATAGTCTGACCACAAGTTATTGGGCCATATCTGCACGAGCTAACCAGATGCAAGAATCTGTGTGGGAGGAAGAACATATCTAGTCTAGAATGTGTGACATGTGAGTAGTATGAGTAGTCTCTCATATTAGGGCGCAAGATTCACCAGCAGTCGTACAATTGTGATTGGTCTAGAAGGTGAGAGAATTGTTTTCATACAGAGGTCAGGTGTGTAGAGGTTTTGGAGGTCGTATCTAAGACAAGTCAAGTGAAACATTATAGTCACCCCAATGACTAACACTAAAAGTTTCCATGGAACACACACATTTCTTGAGTGTCTTGCATTGCTTCCTATTTGGCAAATATATGTTCACAAGCGTAACCATATTGTGGCCTATTTTTCCTGTTACCAACAAAAACCTTCCAGAGTCATCAGCTTTGTGATCAACTTATGTGAAGGGTACCTGTGCGGAAAACAGAATGGCAACCCTATGAACCAGTGCCTCAGTAAAGTGGCCAAATTTGAGGCTGCATCCTAAAGTGGATTTCGTGGCTATGTCACCATTTAATTTATGGAGTTCAGTTAGAGCTAATGATTTTTCTGGAGAGTTTTAGCCTCTAGCATTGAGGGTTATGAAACATAGGGAAGTCATTTACTAGGGGTGATATATGGGTGGCAGGTTTCCCTCCCCACCCCAGCAGAGCACAGCAAAAATGAAAAAAACAAACATAACAAATAAAAGTTAACTATATACAATTAAATCTAAGAAAATTAGGATCTTGTTATGAAATGTGACTCTGACACTACTGGAATTCCCAGGAGAATCCTATCTTAAATGTTTTGTTGGTAAGTAGTTGGGTGTGAAGTTTTTATGCAAGGTAGTAATCAGGGATTATGGTAGGCTATGTGTGGCCATGGTGCAATAGTTAGGTGGGTTGTGGAAGGTTTAGCTAGTGGGATCCAAGAGCTGGATCTTGCAATTAGTTTGGTGTCCAGAAGTTGCTGCTTTCAACATACCATACCCTGACAATAGACAACAGAGCCCTGAAGTATACTGGGAGATACACATTAAACCCTTATATCAAGCAGGAGGGGGTGAGCATCAGGCCAGAGTCGGGGACCTTTGCGCCCAGTTTATGCTTTGTGGGGACGCAGAGATAGCATACTAGAAATATGGTGTAAAATAAGTACTAAGCAGGGTGGTGCATCTACGGTACAGGTTGGGATAGGCATAAGGCTATCCTAGATATAAGATAGGGCCAGGGACTAATTAAAGTATTTAGAAAATTGTGCAGACTAGATGGGCCGAATGGTTCTTATCTGCTGTCACATTCTATGTTTCTATGTTTCTATGTTAGCAGGTATAAACAATGCATTCGATAAACATATTCAGGACTCAATTATCTTATGAATTGCCAGGGCATTATCGATTATGTCTCAGTCTCTTTCAGAAGATCTTTGTAATATCCACAGGAACCAGGGATAAAACAAACACGGAAAAAGCATAGTCCACAACTACTTTTACAGTATCTTTTAGTAAGCGCCATCTACAGTTGAAAAGCTGGTATGTCTTGGATGGTGTGTATGATATACAGGGTATTCTTGTAGGTGGCGCTTAATTTGAATAGGAAGTCCCAGTGCAATCATTCAGCTCCAACCCGTGTCATTACTAAAATTAAGATTATGAGTATACTAAGGCTAGCATACTCTTCAATGTTTTCGGCCTCTTGAGTTTAGCTCCATTGAGATAACCAAGCCAAGAAGCGGAAGGTCTGGTTGTCTGACTGACAAAACGAGGAGTGTAACAAGGTTAATTCATAAAAGTGCCAAGTTCTGTTGAAATAGGCTTTTTTAGTAAAATTAAGTGTTACATAAAGTATTTCAGAAAGCTACATTGCTTTAGGGATCTGGTGTGTCTCTTTATTAATACAAGTTCAAAGAAGGACAAGAGGAAATAACAAGGTTAATCACTAAACTCTCCATACCAAATGGGGCAAAAACAATATTTTCTAGTCAGCAACCACATTAAAAAGTAAAAACAAAATAATAATAATAATAATAATAATAGTATTGAAAAACCCTATGTACCAAAAAATGACTAACACATTATTATAAGAGAAGACTGAAACCTCTCTATGCCCCCACCTGGTATGGGGGGCGTACCTACTAAAAATGTAATTTTCCTTAGTCACACACTTACAACGTGATTTTAAAATGATGCCACCTATGAATCCTTTCTGAACATATCTCAATAGCCATAATTTTTTTTTGTTATTTAAGTTGTTTATTGCATGCACTGTTAACCCATTGCATTATTACTGTGACCCTGGTATGACAATCTACAAATCGAGACAGGTGTCCATTTACTCCTTTACTATGTTGTTGCTATATATAATAGCCTAACTAGGTCAGCATGTAAAACTAAAAAATGGGATGTTACTATCTGCCAGTGCTTATTGCACTATTGATGTTACTGTCTGCCAGTGCTTAATCTGGCATTCTTTCTTTTTTGTATGTTATGTATCTCACATCTCAATAAAATATACTTGACAAAAACAATGTAAAAGTAGCAACTAGGCAACCATTGCTACCCAGTTACTATAAAGGCCCCATCCCATAGAGATAGTGCCTGTGAAATAAACAGGGATTTACACTGTCCACCTATGTGCCCAAATGTGTGGCCAGTGGGTGTGGGCTGTAATATAATAAGGAAGGGAACTTGGTGATCTCCCTGGTCTCCACACATTGGTGGTGGGTGGGGGCCCTAATAATGACATAAGGGCAGGAGGTGGCATAGGGTGTCCTTAATAATATTTTGAAAGAAGGAGGACCCAATGTCCTTACTCTTTCTCCCACTGATTTGCAGTGGGTGGTGGCCCAAATTATAATTTAAAAGGGGAGACCTTATGAAGAATTCTCTTGAGACTTGGCTGTCAGAGTTCTCTGGTTGGCTTACAAATTAATCAGAGCACTCTTACTGATATTACATAGCAATGCACATTTTGTTATACGATTTACTAGGTGATTTGCATGGAAAAGCCTTTAAAACAGCTTTCCCCGTTATGAGAGCTCAGTCTGGGGGGTGCTCTTGCAAAGCAAGCACAGTTTCCTTTTATTGTGCTGCAATTTTGGCTTTTCTTTTTACAATTATTTTGCAAACCTGTTTTTGGATTCTAAGTTGGCTTTGTTATGGGGCTGAAGAAGAGTTTGAAAAAAGAAGATTTCCTGTGGTAAGCATTTTTAATTTATAGGTATTTGATTAGTTGCTCACCCACCACTATTATTAGGTAGGGTTCTTTATTTTTAATTTTTAGTTATGGTTAGTGGATTGACAAGGAGGAGAAGGGGGTTGGGCATGCCACAATTTGGGTTTGTGGACAATGATACCCTACATTGTTTAAATATTTAGAGCCCCTCACTCACAGTCTATGAGTGGGGCCACAAAATAAGTCGGAATGTGAATGTACTGATTTTACAACTCCAAACGTATCCAGGTGATTGCTGCATATTTTCTCAGGCTCACCGAATTCTGACCATAACTGACTTTAATAAATATGAGGGTTGCAGCTGGAATTCAGTCATTTTCATGAAATTTTGCTCATCCAGAAAAAAACAAGTCTGGTGAATAACCCAGTGAGTGTAGCTGTGAATTAGTAAAGTGAGGTGTGTAAGGAATAGCAGGTAAAAAAGGTAAGCCTTACAGTATTTATTATAGACTCTAGTTGGGAAACGTAGAGTTTGAAGAGATTATTTAGGAACATTTTAAAAATAAAATTTGGCATCTTCTGGGCCCTTTGGTTAGCCATGGATGTTAAAGGATTCCCAGAACTTGATATCGTCTGGGTCTTTTTTATATCACTTACTACCCCATAACTCACAGGAAAGAGAAAGAAAAAATACCACTTGACTGACCTATTACATAGCCTATTATTCATAAAGCTGTTATATAAAGGAATCATTGTTTAAAATATTTAGAAACTTATCTGACAGCTTTCACTTTAATTTAAACCAACTGGTTATACAAAGTAAACAGTTTTCCTACTGGAATAGCAAACGTTTTGGGTCTTCACCTCTTGGGAGTAAATACATCATACTTTGATACACAAAAGTATAAAGATCTGCACCGCAGCTCTAATTACTCACTTTAAATCTATGGAAACCTGCAATCCCATATACTATATCTAATGGTACATTTCAACCCAAAGGTAAGACGATGATTATTTCATTAATCATAAATAATATCAAGAAGAGAAGACCAGCAGATGATACAAGTATTAAAACTACTCACACATAATACATAAATATCATAAATGCATACATAACAGGTATTTGCAAGACAATTAAGCATTTTCTACTTGTTTTATGCAGAACATAAAAATTAGATAATTTTTACTAAAATTAAAAATGGTTTAAGATTTTTTTTCTGCAAATTCATATCTTCTTGCATTACTCTTTTTTTACAGGATATGTTTGAAGTCAACCAGACAAAAGTTACAGAATTCATATTCTTGGGATTTCAGAATCTTCAGACTGTTAATATTGGACTGTTTGTTCTATTCCTTACAATTTACATCTTGACATTAGCTGGGAATCTGCTAATTGTTTTATTGGTGGCCAAGGTTCCATGTCTGCAATATCCCATGTATTTCTTCCTGAGCAACTTATCATTGTCTGATATCTTGCTCACTACAAATGTAGTTCCCAACCTACTCCACTGTATAATTAATGGAGGAAGCTCAATATCAATCACTGGCTGCCTCACTCAACTTTACTTTTATGGTGTTTCTGCAGCTGGAGAATGTCTTCTTCTCACTGTGATGTCCTATGATCGATATTTAGCCATCTGTGATCCACTACATTACATCATTATCATGGATCCCAGGCTACGTGTCCAACTTGCTCTTTGGTCTTGGCTTCTAGCATGTATGGTAATGGTATTTATTGCTTTTCTAATATGTAATTTACAGTTCTGTGGTCCACATTTAATTGACCATTATTTCTGTGATATTGCACCTGTTCTAGACTTGACTTGTTCAGATCACACAATTGTTGACTTTTCATACTTTATTTTAGCAATACTTTTTGCTCTTATTCCATTTTCCTTTATTCTCTTCACTTATATCTCTATTTTTATCACTGTATCTCAAATTTCTTCTAGCAGCGGGAAACAGAAAGCCTTCTCTACCTGCAGTTCTCACTTGATGGTAGTGAGTACGTACTATGGGACTCTAATAACTATTTACCTGGTTCCATCCAAGGGGCGGTCATATAATGTCAATAAAATTATATCCCTTTTATACACCATGGGAACTCCATTCTGCAACCCAATTATATACAGTCTTAGAAATCAGGAGATAAAAACAGCTGTAAAATATATATGTAATATCAAAAATTAACTAAATATATTAATGCATAACTGTTTATAATGTAATAACCTCCAGGTTATGCATGTTTTGAAAATAAAATGCATAAAAAGCATTTTCTTCAATAGTGAAGTTTCAAATTCACAAACTTATTACGAAACAAGAGGGCTGTTACTAGAATCTATGTGTGGTTAATAGTAACTTCTTTTTAATAATGTATATATAGCTGCACATATATCAATCACACCAGTTGAGTTTGTATTCTCTAAAAATGTCAACAAAACAATTAAAAGGAATCGTTCAATATAATAGTCCAATTTTTATGTCCGGACATTTTAATGTATACATTATTCTCAAATATATAAATATTTTGAATTGTATTTGAAAGGGTTAAAAATTAAATACATGACTACTGTAAATGGGCAGCTTATTCTTGATATAGTCTAATTAAACGTCAGCTTAAAAATGAAACTGTTGCCGACCATCAATGAGAACCTTTTTGACCTCGCTACCAGAAATACATGTTGTTGGTACCTGAATAAACAAGATCGTGTTTAGCTGATGTGATCTTTTCATGTTACTTTTGCTGTAACTTCTGTCTATAAATATGTTTGCATGACCCTTAATACACTGGTAGCAGCCCAATTTGAAACACGTTGTCTGGGAATCACTGAAAGACTCTCCCCGAACGGTCGGTCCAAAAGTGAGGTGCATGAAACGCGTTGCCCAGCAGTGTATTATGATCCCAACAGTATTTATTTACTGCATTTTTAATCTTTAGCCCTGAAAAGTTTATTCTCAAAATACTATCAATATTGTGCAAGTTACGTAATTGTAGATAAAGATACTTGTAGTTTTTATAATTATATTAATGCAGTGAGCAGTATTAGAGCCATGCTGCTAACAACTCTCTTTGCTCTAGCCACTGCTAAGAATTACCTTCACAAGCTGTTTAAGCTGAGGAGAGGAGTAACACACTGTGATGCTTAAAGAGCAGGTGAAACATTTTCAGAAGAGACTTGAACAAAGAGAAAAACTGTGAACAAGCATAAATATAACAGAAATGTGCTTACTAAATACAGAGGTGGGGCTGCAGGGGAGAGAAAGCAGACATACTCACATACACCAATACAAAACTGAAGGGTGCGCCAAGGGGTAAAGGGTGATGTAATACTAGATAAAACAAAAGAGGTAAAAACAAATAGTATATAAAATTAAATAATACATAAAAGCAAACAAGCCAACAAAGTCCAAAATGAGGTATAAAGTAAGAGTAAGTTTTTAAGAGTTTGCCTTTATCTCCAGGTAAGTATGTCTTCCAAATAGTTGATGTCCAGGGACATAAAAGAGAAGAAGAGAGTTCCAATAGTGCAATATGTATTAAAAGTATAAAAGCTGAAATAAAGTCCAAATGGCCTACTCACATGAAGTAGAGCTGAAAACCAGCTCTGGTGTAAAGCGCCTGCAGTGGTATTATTCCCCCACTTCAGGGATATGATGAGAGGAATAGGCCAGGGTGTGTCTTGTCAGCGGGGTATGTGAAGGCAAAAACAAAGGTACAACAAATAGTGCTCTCTGTATAAAATATATCCAGGGGAATAAATAAATGGATAATACTCACATTTACCTGAGCAGATATCCTGCTCAGTATTCTCATTGTGGGTGGTATAATCCCTACCAGGGATGCTTTGTGAAGTCCTCACTGGGAAGATAAAAACTTGGTGACAGGTATATATATAAAAAAAATCTAAGGTATATGGTACTAATATTGGTAGTAAAAGATACCAAAACCTTTATTTAAGACAGTAAAAATGTAAAATATAATCCATAACGCGTTTCACCCACAATGGGCTTTTTCAAGTGGTAATCAAATTGTCTTTGTTATACTCACATACACACCTGGCTGCCTTCTGCTGTTTTGATGTGCATGTAAAGAGATGCTGTGATTGTTTTGTGTGACAATTTAGGATGATCAGCAGTTGGTACGATAACACTAAAATTGCTCCAACAGGTTAAAAAAATGTGAAATGTAATAAAAAAATCAGCTACACAAGGACTGACAGCCAACTCGGGCTCCACAACACTGCAGGTTTCTTGTGCTAAACTCTTTCGCTATAAAGATTGGTGTGGTATGTTAATAGGAAGGACAGAATGTAAGATATCTCAGAGAAAGGAAAAAAGCAAGAGAAGATTTAAGGAGGAGATAGAGGAACTCAGTGAATATAAAGCCAACACCTGTAAGTAAAATTTAGCTACTTGCTGAGATATACAAATCAGATTAAAGGGACTGTTTAATGACATTATTACAACTTTAATCATACTAAGAGATATGTAAGCACTTTTTAGCCCTTCTAACCGAAATTTGACTTATTTGCATATTTAAAATGGACTAAAATGTTCCTAGCAACAAAGGCTGGAGGAAATCATATGCAAATTATTATAACCCTTAAGAGGTTAAATTCGTATCATCCAGATATTAAAGATATATATTTTTTCCCATGTGAAGGGAAATAAGAAGTAAGAGAATAATACTTAATAATAACAAACGGAATATTTATGTTCAATAATAAAGGTAAAGGCAACTTGACAACTGCAATAATACAGATTTTATCAAATTGAAGCAGGATATCTTCCGTACATATGGCTCCTCTGCCTCTAGATAACGCTGAACTTTCCACTCACCAAATATCAAATTTATCAGAAGATGATTTTCCACATTTGCCAAAACCAGTACAGGGAATTTCACAGCAAGTACTAACTCAAATGCTGGACAACTTATATATAAAAATTAAAAAAAAGACATTGAACACAATACAGATGACCTCAGATTAGAAGTTGACGTTCTTTCTGAGAAGATCTCAAGTCAAGCAATTATACTACTGAAAATCCAAGATGATTATGAACATATTAAATCATCCAATATAAAACTAGAGAAGAAAATACAAGATATTGAGAATAAAATCACAAACCTAGAAGACCGTTCTAGGAGAAATAATATAAGAATTAGAGGTATACCAGAATCAATAACACAAGAAGATTTACATTTCTATCTGGATAGCTTCTTTTCAAATATTTTGTCCCCACAGACTTTGGGTCTGGAACCTTTTGAAAGATTTTCAAATTAAAAATCAAATTATGCAGACAGCAAGGAACAAGATCCTGGACACTGAAGAATTTTGGCATTTAAAACTCTTCCAGGACTTATCACAGAAGACAAGACAAGCAAGAAGAATTTTCTCAGAAGAGACGGCAATCCTTAGGAAGATGGAGATACGTTATAAGTGGCTGTTTCCGATGGCAATAATGGTCTTTTTTAAAGATCAAACATATCTTTAGAGACAACATGGCACTTAAAGAGAAAATGACAACTTGGAAGTTTACGTCAAATTGAACTTTTTCCCCTCCCATTCCTATCTTACTCTATATCAATATATGAAAAGGGTATTGAGCATGGTTTAAGGAAATTAGAGAACACTCAGATTTGTTGAAAATAATTATACACTAGAGTTTTTGAGCAAGTTTAGTAAAAGAGTAGAGAGGAAAGAGAAAGGGAAGAGAATAGAAGGAAACATTTTGATACACATAATAATGGCTTATATAAATTGTGGGGAATGAGAAGGAGGGGTTAAAAGCAGTAAAACGAACACATATGTGGGGCTAAATTTTCCTTATTTAGTCGCATTTAAAAAAGGAAAACTAAAGGGTGGATGTCAGTAGAAAAAGAGTAAAATAATTACACAATTTTAAAATTTGGTTGACTTACACAAAACAGCTAAGAATATATAGTTCACTCAAATAAACAGGATAACTGAAGTCACATTACTAGGAAAACAATGGGAATATTGATAGAGAGGAGAGAATGGGAATGGGATAATAGCTACTAATTTGAAGGTGTGTTGCGGGGCTGAAATTGTATTATTGAGTATTAGCATTGCTGCGTCTTTGATTAAAAGGATACATAGGTTTAGATTATAGAATATACTTAGCTCATTTGCCTGGTCTGGGGTCCTGCGATGGCAGCAGGATTATGTATGAAAACTTTATTCAGAAGTTCTTCGTACAATGGAATGAATGTACAATTAGAATGTTTGATGTGGAGCGTTCTCAAGAGACCAGAAATGATATGGCCGAATGAAAACAGTAGGAGTGGATTTGTGTGTTGGTTGTTATGTGAGAGGTGGTTAGAGGGGAGAAAGGGGTGGGGGTGGGGGTTGTGGCAAGATGTCACTTAATATATTATTTATTAACGCAAGGGGTTTAGACTCAGGACAGAAAAGAGGTTATTTATGCAAACTATTAATTGATAGTAAAACTGATATTGGTTTCGTTCAGGAAACACATTGGATAAACTCTATATCTAAGCTATGTAAATATAAAAAAAATCCCAGTGATACATAGCTCTAATTTAATTGGAAAAAACAAGAAAAGAGGGGTAGCAATAGTTTTTTCAAGTAGATTGAAATATGAGCTTGTTCATGAGGAGATCGAACTTGGGGGCAGGTTTTTAATAGTCATAGCTCAAATAAATGACATACTGTACACCTTGGTAAATGTAGATGCTCCAAATCAACTCCCACATAGATTTTTGGGTAGTTTAATACAAAAGGTTGATCGTGTGTCGTCTGGTAGTCTGATCCTCGGTGGTGACTTTAATTGCATTATAGACACTAAGGTGGACAGGAATAGAAACGAGTCCTTCATAAACGCTGAAAAAATAGGATCATCAATGATGCAGACCCTTTTAGCTAAAAATCGTCTGTATGACTGTTGGAGAATACAACATTCAGAAGAGCGTGATTATACGTTCTTTTCAAATGTTCATCAGTCATATACTCGAATTGATTATATTTTGGTTAGGGCTGACACATTGGAGCGAGTTATTAAGACTGCAATTGGACCTATATCATGGTCAGACCACGCACCAGTCTTTTTAGAAATTAAAAATAATACTGAATATAAATGTAGAGATAGGTGGAGATTAAACAAAACCCTATTAAAATCTGAAATTAATGTGGAAGAATTGCGCACCCAGGCCAGAGATTTTTTTGAGAATAATGATACAGGGGATGTTTCTATTACTATGTTATGGTGTACTTTTAAATCATACATGAGAGGATGTCTTATAAAATTGGGTGCTAACATAAAAAAACAGAAAGGAAGAGAGCTGAATGAGCCTAATATAGATCTGTCAAAATTGGAGAGACTCCATAAGATTACTTTAGATTATAGGGTTTTGGAGGATGTTGAGGAGATTAGAAAAAAAATCTTGGTAAGAACTCAAGAGAAAATAAACAGAGCAATGTTAATATTAACCCCTTAAAACCGCAGGACGTACAATTACGCCCTCTAATAGGCGGCTCTAAACGCCGCCGGGCGTAATTGTACGCCCTCCGGTTTTTGTTAACTTACCCGGTCGCCGGCGGTCCCACGCCGGCGATCGCGGTGGGGGGGACTCCCAGGGAGCCCCCCGCGGCACATCCGTCCTCGTTGAAGCCCCCCGGCCATGTGAGAGTGGGGTCCTAGCAGGACCCCACAATCACATGGCCGGGTATAGCTGGCTTCTGTATTGCCGGCAGGGGGGCTGCCTGTAATTACAGGTGGTCCCCCTGCTGGCTGAAAATAAAATAAAAATAAGTTAATGGTGTAAAAATAAATAATTATATATACTTAGATCATATGTATATATTATATATATATGATCTAAGTATATATATACACATATACATACACACACATACACCGTCTAGGTGTATTTTACTATTAATATATATATAATTATATATATATATTAATATCAAATTACACGTAGACTGATACTGATTAAATATATATATAATTATTGTTACATATATATTTATATATAATATAAAAAAAATAAAAATGTAAATACGTTAAAAAATAAAATTAAAAAAATAATTAAAAATAAATAATTAAAAATATATAGATGTGTGTTATTTCGTTCTAACTGTTTTGTGAAATTAATATATATATATATATCAAAATACACGTAGAACGAAATAATATATCTATATACATAAATATATACGTATATATCACTATATATATACCTATATATAAATAAAAATATTTTAAAAAATTATATAGATATATACATATATATACACATACGTATATATATACATATATTAATTCTACATATATATTTATGTAATATTTTTACATAATTAGGTATCTTAATTAATTACAATTAGCGGGACCTGCCTGACAACCCATGCCGAAAGTAAAGGGAATTTAATTTGCTAGCACTATATTTAACCCTATAACTTTCCAGACACCATAAAACCTGTACATGGGGGGTACTGTTCTACTCGGGAGACTTCGCTGAACACAAATATTAGTGTTTCAAAACAGTAAAATGTATTACAACGATGATATCGCCAGTAAAAGTGAAGTTTTTTGCATTTTTCACGCACAAACAGCATTACACGGACAATATTATTGCTGTGATACTTTTTAATGTTTTGAAACACAAATATTTGTGTTCAGCGAAGTCTCCCGAGTACAACAGTACCCCTCATGTACAGGTTTTATGGTGTTTTCAAAAGTTACAGCGTCAAATATAAGGCTTATGTTTCATTTTTTTCACATTAAAATTCGCCAGATTGGTTACGTTGCCTTTGAGACCCTATGGTAGCCTAAGAATGAAAATTACCCCTATGATGGCATACCATTTGCAATAGTAGACAACCCAAGGTATTGCAAATGGGGTATGTTCAGTCTTTTTTAGTAGCCACTTAGTCACAAACACTGGCCAAAATTGGCGCTTTTTGCATTTTTCACACACAAACAAATACTAACGCTAACTTTGGCCAGTGTTTGTGACCAAATGGCTACTAAAAAAGACTGGACATACCCCATTTGCAATACCTTGGGTTGTCTACTATTGCAAATGGTATGCCATTATGGGTGTAAATTTCATTCCCGGGCTACTATACAGTCTCAAAGGCAACGTAACCAATCTGAAGAATTTCAATTTCAAATGTAACGTGCTATATTTGACCCTGTAACTTCCTAAAACGCCATAAAACCTGTACATAGGGGGTACTGTCTTACACGTGAGACTTTACTAAATACAAATATGTGTATTTTATTGCAGTAAAATCAAACAGTATTATGACACTGACCTTTAAAATGCAATTTAGAACTAAAAAAATCAAAAAAATTCTTATTTTCTCCCATTTTTTTCATATTAAATTATGTTTCATAGCTAAATATTTGATATTAAATGAAAGCCCTGTTTCCCCTGAATAAAATGATATATAATAAGGGTGGGTGCATTTACTATGAAAGAGGTGAATTACGGTTGGACAGACATGTAGCGCAAATGCCAGGTTTTGTTTACATTTTGTTTTGTTCACAATGTGTACATTTGGCTCCGTCCTTAAGGGGTTAAAGCAGGGATGGTATTATGGAAACAATAAAACAGGAAGAAATATTTCAAATTAATTAAAAAACAAGGATAAATCTCAATCCATAAAAAAATATTATAGTTGGAAATAAAAAACTTTTTTCACCAACTCAAATAGCCAAAGCATTCGAAGAATATTATAAAAGTTTGCCTTCTAACTGGGAAATACAGCAGTTTTTGGATAAATTAAATTTGCCAAAAATACCCATTGAAAAATCAATTCAGCTAAATAGTCCTTTTTCTATACAGGAGATTGATGTTACGAGACCAATCTCGCCACATTGCATTGGAGAAGCCTGGTTGCTCGCCTGTTGCCTTTGGATTATGGCCCCATGTTAAAAGGCTTGATTTTCCCCTGAAAAGACATGAAAGCCGGGTCATTTGGTGCTTGCCCTGTTTGAGCAGTAATACCCCAGATAGCTATGCCATGGAGCCCATTCGTATAATGAAAGACTATGGGAAAGACTTCATGGCAATTGAACTGTATATGTGTGCTCTGAGCGCCATTCAGTAATAATGTGCGCTGGGTTCTGAGCTATCTGGGGATATGTTGAATGTACCTGTTTTGTGCACTGGCTGCACAGTTATATGTTTTTATGTGTTTTATTGTCTTTTGCTGCCATGTGTTCAATGGAGTTTTGCCTCTGTCATTGGAGATAATTGGATTACTTCTCAATTATCTCCAGGATAGAAGACTCTGTGGAACTGGTTTTGGGCAGAAAAGCAATTTTTCCTGTGGTCACAAAGGACTACGATCTATCTTTTGAATCACTGGACCAATTTGTATGATTTTGACGTATGTTTGTATTTTGGGTATGCTGATTATGAAAATGTAAGTTATATGTGAATGTGATGCATACTTTTCAAGTTATGAATAATGTGGAAAAATTGTATTTCTCTGCTTGTTATAATTACATTACCCATTGTGTAAAGTAATTGAATCACAGGCAGAGGGGAGGATTTTGTGTGGGAGTGTCTGAGTGTATTGTATGTGTTTATTGGTTGTGTTCCAAAACCCTGTGGGTGGTACTAATGTGTATATAAGAACAATAAACCCACAGCTCTGTCTGTTCACCGCTTGACCCTCAACACGGAGCTTTGTCTCATTCTTGGGGGAATTTATTGTATGCTGTTCCAGTTCGACTGCTAGGAGTGTAAACCTATTCAGATGGTTTTTCCTATTCGGCTGCTTACGGCATTCATATGGTTTCCTGTTCGGCGGATTGGTGTTCTGCAGTAGCTGTGCCTGTGTCTCTGGAGGGGAAGATCTACTAAACGGCGGTTTAACCCTTTTATGCTGAGGGTGCCGTTACAATTAGTAATACCATTAGAGCACTAAAAGTGGGCAAGGCCCCAGGTCCAGATGGTTTTTCATTGACTTTTTATAAGAAATTAAATGGAATTATTTCTCCATATATGTTGAGGACATTTAATTAATTTGCTACTCATAAAGTAATTCCATCAGAAATGCTTCAGGCCTCCATAATGCCAATCCCAAAACCAGATAAAGACCCAGCATATACTTTAAATTATAGTCCAGTTTCTCTCATTAACTTAGACATTAAATTGTATTCTAGAATTTTGGCCGATAGACTTAAAGGAATTATACCAGATATTGTGCATTTAGATCAGAGCGGGTTTGTGGAGGGCAGGGGTACGCCCAACAATATTAGGAAATTAATGAATGTCTTATATCACGCAAGTCAAAGTCCGTCTCCTTTTGTCTTGGTCACCCTCGATGCCGAGAAGGCCTTTGACCGTTTTAGCTGGAAATATCTGGAAGAGGTTCTGAGGGCCTTTGGCATAGGTGGTGTTTTTAAGTAATGTATAATGGCATTATATAAGGATCCCCAAGCTAGGGTCTCTGGATTTATGTTTCAATCAGAATGGTTCCCAATTAGAAATGGGACGCGACAAGGTTGCCCCTTGGTACCTCTGCTATATATCCTTTCTATAGAGCCTTTGGCAGCAGCCATTAGACAGAGTGAGGATATTAGTGGGTTAAAGGTGAACACTTTGGAGAATAAAATAACACTCTATGCAGATGATGTTCTCCTGTCTCTCACGGACCTTATTAGATCTATTCCTGCAGTATTCTGTCTGATTAAGGAATACAGTAAATTTTCTGGCTATAAAGTAAATATAAAAAAACACAAATTCTGATAAAGGGACTAACTGGGCCTAGGGAAAATGCTTAAGGAGGAATTTAAGTGTGACTGGGAGGCTAGGAGTATAAAATACCTAGGGGTGAATCTTTCTTTGGACTATAGTGAAATCCGTAAACTTAACTATTTATAAATAGCTACTCAATTTAGGAGAATTCTTAAAACATGGAGGGGTGTAGAATTATCATGGATGGGAATAATTGAGTCAGTTAACTCCTATTTACTTCCCAAATTGACATTTTTATTTAGGAATCTCCCGTTGATGGTGGATTCCCAGATGATATGCGGTCTTCAAAAACAGATTTTTCAGATTATATCTGGCAGGATAGGCGACCCAGAGTGTCACTGGAAATCTTACAGAGAGATTGGAGGGAGGGGGGAGTTTCCTTTCCAGATGTTCAAAAATTATATATGATTAACACGACAGTACATCTAGTTATGTGTGATAATTTTACAACCTCAAGACCAACTTCGCTAGATATTGAAAAAGTTGATCTTAGTAATTTCGAACCTCTATTTCTTATATGGTCCTATAGTGAGTTGGTAAAAAGCATAAAATCTAACAATCCCATGAATAATACAATGATTTATGTAGTAAAATATCTAAAGAAAAAATATGGTACCAAATACATATCAAGAAGTGCCCCACTAGTATGTTTAAAATTTTATATAAAAGACATAAATATTCGAGAATGGGAAAAGTGCGGAATTGTAAATTTTGCGGAGTTATTAAAGGGAAATCAAATCTTACTATTTTCAACGTTACAGCTTAAATTCAATCATCCTTCTAAAGAACTATTTAACTAACTAAGAATAAAATCATTTATTTTAAATAAATAATTTTTGGAAAAAACCCCAATTGATGAATTTATAGCATTTCACTATAGGAAAAAAAATTGCTTCCAGATTTAATCATTTTATGAAAAATCAAAGGCAAATAGATAAAGCGTCAGCACTGATAAAATTGGAGCAAGAATTTCCAATCTCTTTTTCGCTCGAAGAGTGGTTATCGGGCTTACACTTAGTGAAAAGGCATATACATGGGGTAAATTTACGGGAAGTGTACTTTAAACTTGTTTACTGATAGTACTTAGTGTCCACTCGTCTTCACAAATTTCATCCTACACTCCTTACAGATTGTTGGAGATGTGGCAGGACATTAGGCTCATTCCCCCACATATGGTGGGATTGTGATGAGCTGAATCCTATGAAATTAATTCTATTTGAGCTAGTAAATTTGATTCTTAAGGCACAAACTGATATAACTGCCAAAATGTTTTTGTTTCATTTCGACATGCCAAGGGTTAATACAAAATGTAAAATTCTTATGATTCACATTTTTATGGCAAGTAAAATAGTTATGGCCAGGAACTGGAGAAACATAGGTCCCTTAAATTGGTATGACATTCGCACACAAGTGGATTTCCAATATAGGAAAGCAGTCATAGCATTAGATAGAGTACCCAAAGAGAAATATGATGAAATTTTGGGCCCCTTGGGTTAGTTTTTTTAAGATCAAAAGATTAAATCCCATACCCCCACTAAATCCCCTCTTTCTGTTAGGTAAGTTAGTATTTTTTGTATGAGTATGAAAGAGGTCAACTTGTCTATCTTTTTGACCTGAACACATTTATTGTATAAAATGAAAAAACTTGGTTTTAGATATGTTAAATATGATATGTAGTGATGTCCCGAACGGTTCGCCGAACAGTTCACGAATGGTTCACCACAGTTCGCCACGAATGGTTCTCCGCTGACTCCAGTCAGCAGACACATTCCAGCCAATCAGCAGCAGACCCTCCCTCCCAGACCCTCTCACCTCCTGGACATCTGCTGCTGATTGGCTGGTATGTGTCTGCTGACTGGAGTCCACGGCGAACCTTTCGTGGCGAACCATGGTGAACCGTTCGGTGAACCCTTCGGGACATCACTAATGATATGTATAAACAGTAAATATAGCAATATAGTAATCTATTCTGAAAGTATTTGGATGTAATTTAAGTGAAAAATAAAGATATATAAAAAAAAAGGGCTAATAAAAGACATATGATCTCTTAGATGATCATCAGAAGAGCAGAAATTAAAGGAGTTCTATCCATTTCAGATGTACATATTGTATGACTGCACACTTTTTAGCTTGGGACAAAACTAATAAATCTAATCCTGCTTGGAAGAGCAGGGATCTACAGTTACATAGTTACATTGTTACATAGCTGAAAAGAGACTTACGTCCATCAAGTTCAGCCTTCCTCACATTTGTTTTTTGCTGTTGATCCAAAAGAAGGCAAAAAAAACCAGTTTGAAACACAATTTTGCAACAAGCAATGGGTACGCATAATACGATCAAGCATTAGTAACCCCTAGTACATTACAGAATGCCTTATCTAGATGTTTGTCAGGGTGTATACAAATGTAACATTTCCATGAAACAATGATGGAACAAAATTATAACATAAATTATAACTAAAATATACTAAATGGAGCTAGGTGACTGATGTAGATATATATAATCCACCAAGTATGTTGTATGTAGACATATAGTGCAACATTTAAAAATAAAAAGCATGAAAACTGGTACGAATAAAATAATTTGTCATTAGGGAGAGGATTGCCCTGGGGACACCTGTCCACCACCCCATATGTTTTGCAAGTAAGTCACTCATGACTGCCAAATCCTAAAGTGGCAGTAAGTGTTCTGGGAGTAATCTATAGGCTCTTCCATATGGGTAATGTCCTCCACTCTAACCTGCTATTCAGCCAGAAATTGGGCATGGGTCAATTTTCAGTTTAGCATTAATAAAATCTGCTATTAATACATTGGGTAGACAAGAGTTGTGAATCTTAGAGAGTAACATGAAGGTATGAAGTAGTTAGTTATAGAGCAGATCATGGGAAGTATACAACTTCAGAAACATGCAGTCTTCCTCTGTCCACACCACATCTTCAGGAAGTGTCAGATATACCTACCTGGGTAATTTTAAAGGAGAACAGTACCAAAGTGAAAGGAGTTTTAAATTAGCTTCATGAAATTTTGTGAGCTTAAAAACCTTCTGCCACTGTTGTTCAGGTAATTGTATCTGCAAATACTCCTCCTACCTCTTGGTGGAAGCAGGTAAAGAGGCCACTTAGAACTATTCAAATCCCTGTATGTCAAAGAGAGAACTCATTTCTGGAGTTTTTGGGAGATACAGGTGTACTTTAAATAATTAGAATTTCTGGTTGCACAGTCGTGCTGTATATAAAAACGGGTTGTAACATAAACTCTTTCTTTTTCTGCACTTTTATCACTTCAATACATAATGTTTTAGTCTATTATGTGGCACTTCCCTTAGATTAGTTGTGTAACACTGACCATTATGGCCTTTTTCTTTTTTTAATAGTTGAATTATGTGCTTGTATTATATTCTTTGCACAGTATTTCCATGATTTCTATATGTTTGTATTTGAATTTCCTCTAAATGTAAGAATACTACATTTTGTCATTCCGTACACTGATTATTTCCACAATATATAGTTACACAGTTACATAGTTACATAGCTGAAAAGAGACTTGCGTCCATCAAGTTCAGCCTTCCTCACATTTGTTTTTTGCTGTTGATCCAAAAGAAGGCAAAAAAAACCAGTTTGAAACACAATTTTGCAACAAGCTAGGAAAAAAAATCCTTTTTGACCCCAGAATGGCAGTCTGATTTGTCCTTGGATCAAGCAGTTATTACCCTATGTTGAAAGATTATGTCCTTGAATATTCTGTTTTTGCAGGTATGCATCTAGTAGCTGTTTGAACATCTGTATGGACTCTGATAAAACCACTTCTTCAGGCAGAGAATTCCACATCCTAATTGTTCTTACAGTAAAAAAACCTTTCCTTTGCCTTAGACAAAATTTTCTTTCTTCCAGTCTAAATGCATGGCCTCGTGTCCTATGTAAAGTCCGGTTTGTGATTAGATTTCCACACAATGGTTTGTATTGGCCCCGAATATATTTGTATAATGTTATCATATTCCCTCTCAGGCAACATTTTTCTAAGCTAAATAGGTTTAAATTTGTTAACCTTTCTTCATAGCTGATATGTTCCATTCCTTTTATTAATTTTGTAGCCCGCCTCCGCACTTTTTCTAGTGCCATAATATCCTTCTTTAGAACAGGTGCCCAAAATTGCACAGCATATTCAATATGGGGTCTTACCAGTGATTTATAAAGAGGCAAAATGATATTCTCGTCCTGAGAATGAATGCCCTTTTTCATGCATGACAATACCTTACTGGACTTGGCCACTGCTGATTGACATTGTTGCATAGCTTGTTGTCTATAACAATTCCCAAGTCCTTTTCGTGTGTTGTTATCCCTAATTCGCTTCTATTAAAGGACCACTATAGTGCCAGGAAAACATACTCGTTTTCCTGGCACTATAGTGCCCTGAGGGTTCCCCCACCCTCAGGGACCCCCTCCCGCCTGGCTCTGGAAGGGGGAAAGGTGTTTAAACTTACCTTTTTCCAGCGCTGGGCGGGGAGCTCTCCTCCTTCTCTCCTCCGATCCTCCTCCTGGGCTGAATGCGCACGCGCGGCAAGCGCTGCACGCGCATTCAGCCGGTCGCATAGGAAACATTTATAATGAATTAAAACGAGATTCCTGAACTCCTGAACCAATCTAGTTTTTGGATATGTTGTGACTTTTTAGATATGTTTTTCTCCCAGATCGGGGCTGTCAGGGGATATAACTTTTAGTGTTTTTTTGGTGTGCTGTAAGGGTATTTTTAATATGTTATAAAAATGTGTTTTTGTGTCTGGAGATAATTGAGTTAATACAGTGCTTGATTCAATTATCTCCTAAGCATAGTGGAGGGACTGTATAATTGTGTTTGGGAGTGTCCTGGACCTGGGGGCTGATGTCATTGGTTTGTGTAAATTTGTTGCAGGCTACCATCAGGTCCAGGGGGGAGTGCCCCTTGCATGGGGACTTGCATAAAAGGCCAGTTGTGGCTACCAATAAATGAGTTCCTGCCTACCCTAAACATAGAGTCTCATCTCATGTGTGGGGGGAACAGCTGTATCTGCTCTGGGGATTGCTATATCACAATATTCCCCTGGGTTATAATCACTAGCTCTTATAAGAGCTGTTCCTGCTATACTCTCTGGAGTAGGAGAGGTTCACCCACTGGAAGCTGGGTCCTGGTCTTGGGTCCAGGGTGGGTGGAGGATGGTGAGTTTCCAGCCAAGTATTAATACTGGATGTGGGGACTACAGTGCTGGTGATGTCTGGTGGAGTGCTGGAAGTACTCGGTGAGTACTAGGGAGAATCGATTGGTTGAGGCACCCAGTTGGGGTGCCAGGTGGTCCTCTTTGATATTAACCTAAGAATTTGGAATAGTAATGGGATCAACTAGATATCTAACGTCCTAAGTACAAGGAAATTGACTCCCTTTCAACAACTAGAAAACACATACTTCTTACCTACAAGAGAAATGTTTACGTCTTAGAATTATGAAAGACGAGCTCTGTAATGGAGAAAAAAATCCCCCTGGGTTCGTGTTGGTTTTTGGGTGACTGAAGGGGCTTAACCCCATATATAAGTCAAACAAGAAAAGAATCAGAGCCTGCTTCAAATAGACAGCCAGGCACTGACAAAGATTGCCCCCAAAGTATCATGTATTCAACACCAATTAAAAATTAGAAAAGCAATTATATAACTTTATTAATAATAAATATCTGAACAAAAGACACACATATGTGAAAAAATTGTGTATAAATGTGAAAGTGTAAAAAAAGGTATTAGAGGTATTAGAGGTAGATTAATATAGAGTACCAATATAAATGATGGATAATGTTGCAAACTTCATAATTGTGTTATAGAGATACATATGAATATGAATCCAATAAGAACTAAAATAAAGATGTTTTGCCTGCTTACTTATGTTTTCTTTAAACATGGTAAATATATTACCAATTCTCCAAGGGTATGCAGACTTTTGAGCACAACTGTGTTTAAAAGTAGGTAGTAACCAGAAGAAGCCTCATTCACTGTGAAAAAAAACTTTTCAATCCTTGTTTTTTACTTTGCCACAAATAATATCCTTTCGTTATCCTGGTCCCAGATCCTCATCTGTTTATGACCACACTCCATCTCCAGTATCCTTAGTGGGCATTATATCCACCTATGCCATATGGACTGAGCAATACCAAAAGTAGGGTCTTTTTTCTTTATCCTGTAGTACACAGCTTCAACAGAAAGCACTATATTTGTATTTTCCTTGCATCATAATGCTGAGAATATCAGGCTGCACATTATCCTTAAGTGGGGATTATACCACTTTATGCTATTTCACCGAAAATAAACATGGCTCTTTACCATGTGAGTGCATTATCACATATTACTAAATGTCTCCATATTTTGTTTACCACATGGTACAGTATATATTCTTCGGTCTTTTATTTTACATAACAACACTCTGAGAAGACTTATGTTTGTTGAGACACCTGCATTTTCCGAGGAAGAAATTAAACTGCCCATGTTTGAATCTCAGCTGGTCAGACTGTTTTAATACATATAACATTCACCTTTTCCAGATTTCCAGTTATACTCCACCATTGGATTTCCTTCCCACTAACATACAATATGGAAAGGAGAATCTGTCATCATTACAGCCAAGAAGAGGTAACCATGGCAGGTTGTTGAGCTTAATTCCTTTGTGTTTTCAACTTTGATAAAGATACTGAATTTTCAGACTTAAAAATAAATTCTAGAGGGTGGGGCCTGATAGCCGACTAGGATGGTCGCATGGTGCTAGAGCTCCTCTGGGGAATCTATCTATTAAGCCACAAATGGGCCATCGGTGCTCTCTATTTGGCCTAAATCCTGCACTTCACCCTGTCTCTCATTTACTATCAAAAGTGCAGTATTAGTGACATCTCATATTATGTCTATGCTTGTATATCTTTTGAGTAATGTCTCTGTACTCATGTTTATTATGCTCAGCACTGTGAAAAAAAAAAAAATATATATATATATATATATATTCTATACCAGTTTCTAACTCATTGTTATTGTTTACTATGTCACTATGGCAACGAGGTAAAGAGGGATATGTCCTATGTTGATTGACACAGTCAAGGCTCCGCTGAAGGTGACGTGACAGTGATATACTAAACTCAATGCTGTGTCATGTGTTTATCAAACTCAACAAGGAACAAATTACAAAAAATATGTAAAGAAAGAAAAATCCCGTAGAGCAGTATCACACAAATAACTAGAACTATAACAATGAAAATACATTCACAAGTGCCCACTCCCACCACACCCACTGTCGAGGAATATGTTTTTTTGTAAGGTGCAAATTTCTGCTTTATGGGTCATAGGTGATGGGGCACACACTGACATTGCTTTGCCAAGTCAGCTCATTCCACCTCACTCTGTATTGTGCCACATGTGAAACAAGCATCTGGTGTTTGAGGAGATCATTGCTGACCACCAATCTGCAAAAAGTTATTGTGCTACCTTACTTAAATTAAATACCTTAAAGAGACACGTCAGGAGACACTGGAGTGGTCTGGGTGCCAACTCCTGTCACCCTTAACCCTGCAAGTGTAATTATTGCAGTTTTTATAAACTGCAATAATTACCTTGCAGGGTTAAGGCCTCCTCTAGTGGCTGTCTATCAGATAGCCACTAGAGGGACTTCCGGGTTCTTAAAACACAAAAAGTGTTTTAAACGACGCTGGACGTCTTCACGCTGTGCATGGGAACCTCCATCGTCGACAGAATCCCCATAGAAAGCATTGAATAATGCTTCCTATGGGAAGGTCTAATGCGTGCACGTCAGCCGGTGGGGGAGGAGCATGGGCAGAGCCTGACCCAGTGCCGAGGAACATCGGCGCTGCATTCATGTAAGTACCTGAAGGGGTTTTAACCCCTTTAGCAACATGGGATGGGGGCACTGCAGGATCCTGCAGTGACAGGAAAACAGGTTTGTTTTCCTTGCACTGGAGAGTCCCTTTAACTCCTTCCCGACCGCAGATGTATCAGGTACGTCTGACAAAAAACGGTCCTTAAGGATCGCTTCCAGCCGCTCTGATAGTATTGCAGCGATGCCATCATGCAATACCTCTCATTTCTGCAAGGCACCCGGAGTGCACCGGGTGATCGCTCCCCTTGGAGCGATCACTTCGGGTTGCTCCACGTGGCACCCGGTAGTACAGCAGCACATAGGAAGCCATCGAGCAGGCTTCAGATGCTCTGCATGTGTGGAGTGCCTCAAGGCACTCAGTTAAGAATTATTATTTTTTTTAAATATAAAAAGAGACTAAAATAATTAATATTAACCCCCTAAGCCCTCCAGCCATGTGGCTCCCAGTATGGGGCTGCTTTTCTAAAGGCAGTGCATCATGCGACTTCCCTAGCCTGCCTCATCATAGAGGCAGGCTAGGGATATCCAATCAGAGCATGCCCCTATAACAATGTCTATTATAACTATGATCCCCATTTGTCTGATCAGGTCAATTTTAGTAAATATTGACTGATCAGTGTGGATCAGAGAGATTTAGATAGTTTTAGGTAAGGATTTGTAAAATTGTGAGACCCAAAGGCCCTTTTCAGAGCCATTAACCCCTATCTTGCCAGTGATCACTGTAATTTTTGCTGTCTGTGCATTTTTTTAGGGGTTCTTTTTTTGTTTGTTCAAGCTACTGTATTGTTTTGATACAGTAGCTTGTAGTACAATAAAAAAGAACTGCGCAAGTTTCCCAGGGCAACTTGCACGCACCCGACTATGAAGGGAGGAGACCTCAGCTCTACGCAAAAGGAGCTGTTGGCAGTTAAGTACAGAGACAAGAAGGATGTTTACCTTCTTACCACCATCCACACTGAGAGGACTGTGGAGTTTTCTGTACATGGCAGAGCTGAGAACACCAGGAAGCCAGTGTGCATCAAGGCCTATAACCGGCATATGGGTGGGGTTGATCTGGCAGATTAGCTGCTGCAGCCCTACCTAATTATGCTCAAGACAATGGCCTGGTACAAAAAGGTTACAATTTACTTAATGTAGGTTGCAACCCACAATGCTTTTTTGTTGTTCAAAAAAGCAAATCCCTGAATGCAACTGACTTTTTTACAATTTCAGCTCCAGATCATTTCAGGGATTTTATACCATGATGTACCTGCTCCCCGGGCGGTGATGGGAGAGAGCAAAGTTGAGGCTACACGTTTTATTTTTAAAATCCCCCCTACTGTCACAAAGCAGAATCCCTAAAAAAGATGCAGCGTCTGTTTTAAGAGGGGACAAATAAAATATACCATATATCACTGTTCTGATTGCCCTGGACAGCCTTGGCTGCATTGGGAACTGCTTCAAACGATACCACACACCGGTAAATATTTTTTTTTTTACATTTGCAATTCAGTTTTTGGGGGTGGGGGGGTTTGGTTACGTTTACCCTATGTATGGAATGACGGAATGACGGAATGACGGAATGACGGAGAACGCACATAATGGTGGAACGCACATTGCGTTCCAACAGACGTAATGTAGAAGCGTTGGAACGCACGTTGCGTTCCACTAGGCGCAACCCGGAAGTAGAATTCACCTCAGCACCAATTGATGAGCGGCCTATTTAAAACAAGGAGAATCAAACGGACTATACAACAGCCAACTGAGGAAGCCTATTTTGAAGGCGAAACGCGTTTTGGACATATTATAAACTATACAACCTATCCAGATACTTATCTGCTATGATTTTATTGTTTTTACATTTGAATTTTTATTTGGATTAATAAAGCACCTTTTACTAAAGAAATCTCTCTAACCTGGCATTTATACATTTTGGAGCTGGCCAAGAGGGAGAAGGAAACCACAAATCACTTTGGAGAAGAAGGATCTGGACATCCTGAAATAGTCCTAGGGCGCATACCATCCAAGTCATATGAGAGTATGACTCTACGCTTGTGAGTGATATTGCTCTTTTATTTTATATTTCAAGCCTTTTAGATACTGTATTGCACATATTATCTTGCAGAATATCTGTTGAAAAATTACTCTGAAACTCCACCTTTTATATGTATGTATATAATTTGTTTTTAAGTGGTGTAGGGGAAACCACTTTTAGGTGTTAGAGTTTTTTATACACTTACCTCCACTTTAGTGTATATACTTTGTTATACTATTTGTATCTTTTAACCCCTTGTGGTGGTGTTATCACTGTAATATGGCTCTTACTGAAAGTAGAGAATACTCAATCAATAGTATAGATCAAATGTTTG